GGGCTTTGGGGGAAGGACGGGGCTGTGAGTGCAGTGGGGTGGCAGGAGGAGGCTGCTGCTCCCTGGGGCCCCCTCCCCCTTCCTCCCCAGCGGCATTGGGGGCAGAGCAGGGTGGTCACATTGGTGAGAAGGGAAGCGCTGCCTGCGGGGCGGGTGGAGTGGCCTCACGCCCTTTCCCTCCTCCCTCCCTACCACGCCCTCTGTAAGGTGGGGGCAGCCTCGCTGGCCAGTCTCCTTTCCCTGCCCCTTCTCCCCGTGGGCCAGCCCCCTCGCCCTTCCTCACAGTTACTTGTGGTTAAGCCCAGGGAAGGGAGCTGAGTTCAGACAGACAGACAGACGGACAGACGGACGCCTAGGCCGGGGCAGGCCAGCCCTCAGGGCGGACGTCCCTGGCTCCTCCCGCCTCCTCCAGCCCTTCCTGTCTCCGGAGCCTCTGGACTCTGGGCAGCCGGGCCACTGGGCGCTGCCTCCGCGGGTGCAGAGTGCAGAGCCCCTGGCTAACCGTGCCCCCCCGCCCCCCAGGGCTGGCAGGACCCAGGAGGTAGCGGTGCCCCTGGCCCGGCCTGCAGACCACCGGGAAGCCTAGCAGGACCACGACGGGCCTGGCAGCACTGTATGCTCAGCCCCGGATCAGTGGAACTGGAGCTGGAGGGCACCCCCCATGGACCTGGCTGCGTGGGGCTCTATTTATTCTCATTACATATGGTTGGCGCCGAGACCGGTGTGGCTCAGTGGATAGAGCGTTGGCCTGTGGACTGAAGGGTCCCAGGTTTGATTCCAGTCGGGGGCATGTACCTTGGTTGCGGGCACATCCCCAGGGGGGGGGGGGGTGCAGGAGGCAGCTGATTGATGTTTCTCTCTCATCAATGTTTCTAACTCTCACTTCCTCTTTGTAAAAAAATCAATAAAATATATTTTAAAAAATATATGGTTGGTAAAGCTCAAGCCCCACTGCCCAGGTGTGTGGGGCCTCCTGCCCCGCTTCCCCAGGGTCACCTCTAGGCCTCCTGCCCCCCGCTGCCCCGGGGATGACCTGCAGGCCTGCATGTGCCCCTCAGCTCTCCTCCTGGCTCGCTAAGGCTCCTCTCCTTGCCACCCAGGGTCCTCACTGCCTCACCAGGTGCCCGGGGGCTGCATGGCCGACCCCAGGTGCCCAGGCGGTTTCAATACTGACAACCTGGGCTCCAGCGATCAGCGCGGGCGCCCTCTGGTGGCCAAGCTCCAGGCTTGAGGGATACTGGGATCAGCCTGAGCCAGGGGTGCATCAGGCGGGCAGGGGTGGCGAGCCAGGGTGACACGGCCAGCAGCTGGGTGCTTTCGTGGTGAAGGAGTGGGGGCAGATTTAGGGCGGGGCTGGGATGACATTGGGTAGAGGAACCAGCCAGGCCCAGGGGCAGCCGGAGCCCAGGCCTGAGGCAGGAGGGAGTGACGGGTCCTGCCAGGCCCTGGGAGGGGAACCGGGCGAGTGGCACTGGGGCCCACGGTCCCACATCTCAGGGACCCGAAGAGCGATGCTCGGGCCTGGGAGAGGGGTCAGACGGATGGTGACGGCGCCCCCATCAGCAGGGCCGGGCTGGCCCTCCCCAGCGTGTCCCCGGGGAGCTCCGTGCTTGCAGATGTCCAGGGGGCTGAGGCCGCCTGTTGATGGGCCCCGAGGCCTACCCAGCGTCACCCCAGACGCCTTCCTGGCTGTGGGGGGTGGACACTGACCACCGCCGGCCTCCCCACCGGCAGACTGAGGGGGCCAAGCCCACCTGCCCCACATCCACTCTGAGGCGGGGCGAGCAGCGTGAGGGGGGAGGCTCCGGGAACCGAGCCTGGGGGCCGCCGTGAGTGTGGCGCCTGCGCCCTGTCTCTGCGACGGTCCCTCCTGAGCCATCGGGCAGCTCCGAACCCCTCGTCGTGGTCCCAGGCAGCAAGCGTTCTTGCCACTGGTGGTTGCCAGGCCCTCCGGGCACAGGGTGGCACTTCCGACCTCAGCCTTCTGTGCGTCCCCCACCGGCCCCTCGCTCTCCCTGGCCCGCGGTGAATGCCTTCTCCGGGAAGCCCGCCGTGTGCACTGGCTCCTGAGGCCCCGGCTTCTCCCAGAGCCGGGCATGGCTGTTGGCTCCGCGGGAACCGCACTCGCTCTCGGCAGGGCAGGCTGGTGGCACTGGCATGGCTGCCCAGGCTCATCCCGGAGAGAAGGTCAAGTGCATTGTCGGGCGTCCCTCTTCCTCTGGTCTTTCCTCCTGATGCGGCCCCCTCGGTGCTTCCTCCTCCGCTTCCTCAAGCCAGGAGCTCACCGCCTTCCGAGGGGCCACGGGCCGTGCTCCGCACAAAAGGACTGACCCCGACGGGCGCTCCGTCCGCGGGCCTGAGGGCCGCCGGGTTGCGGTCGCAGGTTCGGGCCGCCAGGCGCTGTGAACAGGATGTGCGAGAAGGAAGCAAACGTCCAGGGAACGCAGGCGGCCATTTTTCCCCATTTCTGATCCCAATCGGGTCCCAGGTGCGGCCGACTCCAGGCCAGCCTGCTGCCTGTCACCTGGATGGCGGGCGGGTGACGGGCATGGGTCCTGCAGGAGGCTCAGCGCCGCCGGCGGAACCACAGGGCTTAGGACCGTGCCCGCGCCCAGCGTGCCCGCTGTGGGCAATCTCCCGGTACAACTGGAGTGAACCCAGCAACACGTCTTAGAAAGGAAACACACACTGATTTCAACAGCCAAGAAAAACTGCAGTTTATTAAGATTCAACAAAGCTTGTACTTTTGAAAGCAACTTTCGGTGCGTATTCTTCAACAATCACATTCTATGAGGAAAAACATGAAAAGCCACAAACTTGTTTCTTAATCTCAGTTACAGACATCTTCAAAATGAAAGAGCAAAACAACACCCCCCAACGGAAAACAGAGACTCTACTTCCGTCCGCGCTGCTCACGCCGCGGCCGTGGCCGTGACACAGACGCGGGGACACACGCACGGAGGCGGCGCGGGGCGGCGGCGGCCGCCGGGAAGCTGCTTGGCGGACCCCGGACCGGCAGGCTGGCCCCGTCTGTGCAGAGTTCTGACCCGCCACAAACCAGCTCCGTGGCCCGCGCTCCGCAGGACCTGCGGCTGCTGCTGCTGCTTCCTTTTTTTTCTTCTTCTTTTTTTTTATTGTTTTGATAAAACCATTAAAAAGCGAATTAAAAAAAATGTAATGCACGTTTCCTGACCGAGCAGGCAGGGAGCACAATGTTCGTATGTTTTGAACATACTGAGGGCATGTTACTCCATTGTCTTTCTTTCTTGCAAAACAATGAGAACATTGATCATTTTTAAACATAAAGCGATTTAATATATAAAGCACTCTTCAAACACCTATGTCTTCGGAGTCCATTATTTGGTAAATATGTAACTGCTACACATTAGAGATTAAGTATTTTTCTTCTTTGAGTTTTTTTCCCTCTTTTTTCTTTTTTTTCGCATTTTTTTGTTTTTTATAACATCTTCAGTGCTAGGAGTTGGGTTACAAAATACATGGGACGGTGTGGCGCTGCCCCTCGGAACCCTGGCTTCCTGAGAGCGCTTCCCCATGTGCAAGACAGTGGCCGCAGCGCCCGCCGGACGCCAGTCCGCGGCGATGCGGAGGGGACACTGCCCATCCCAGAGCTCTGAGCAGCGCGTCCGCATCGGAAAACAGGCGTCTGACGACGGAAGTCTTTTTTTTTTTGTCTTTTTTTTTTTTATATTCCTTTTTAAATTTTTTTACGTTAAAGTCTGAAGGAGAAAAAGGTCTGTAAACAGGTGGGAGCCCAGCGCGGGCCCCTCCGAAGCAGTCGCCACTGTCCAAGTGCTGTCTCCGCTCTTGCGGGACCCCCCCCCCCCCCCCGAGGACCCGTGGCCGCAGTCCCCACGTTCTCTCGGTAACGCTCTCCTCCCAATGGAAATGGTGCAATACTCTGGTGAGAACTCTCTCGCATTTAGTCCACGACAAGAAGCTGCTAAAGGTAGGTATACATATTATTTCTCCAGAGATACACACGGTAACTTCAAACGCGGTAACAGAGTCCTTGAGTAAACATTTACACGTGAATTGTCGCCGGCCCTGTCCCACGAGTTCTCTTTAACGTGTAGGATGAGCTGAGGACGGGCGGGGACACTCAGTGCAAAGTTAGAAGCTAATAACGAACGTTTGACCAATGCGCCAACAAAAAGCATATACTGAATAAAAGGGAGACCCACAGTGACTCCCTCGCGCGGCATGCGAGCACAGGGCGTGCGCACACCCCATGCACACGATGCTGGTTCCACCGCGCCGACTGTGCCCGTGGCCGTGGCGGCTCCGGAGCTGTGCCCGCCGCCGGCCTGGCTGTGGGTCGGACTGAGAGTGTTCACGTTGCGTATTGGCCTGCTGGATTCAAGTATTTGCATGTTTGATATGTCTTTTTTTTTTTTTTTTTTCAACTTTTAAAAAATATTTTTTGGGATAAAAAAAATGACATGAAAAAGTAATGAAACAAGGGTAATGTGCATAGGCGGATCCGTGGGGACAGAGGACTTTGCAGACCGGCCTCCCGCCCGGCTCGCCGTGGCCGCGGAGGCCGCTCGCCCGTGAACGCCAGCCCCCTGATTACGGGGTCCGCCTCTGGTAATGTGCATAATCGTCACAGGCTCTTAAATAGGCTTTCTCGTCTCCCCCCTCCCGCCCCCCTCGATAAAATAACCCTTTCCAGCCCACAATCTGAAAAGTGCCCTTCATGATAGAACTATTCTAAGCAGCTTTTATACTTAAAAAATCAAAATGACAACACACCGTACAAACAAAGACAACACGAAATAAAAGCTATGAGAACATCCTGTCGTTAGCGTGTGCCGCTGGCGCAGCCCGCACTGTCTCGGGAACAGTTCGCAAGGGCCGCGCAGGGTCGCCTTCAGTTCGGACAGAGGTACGTGGAAGGGCGCGGGCTCGTGGCCAGCGGCCGCCCGCCGGGCTGGAGGGCCCGCTCTCTCCTGGTCTGACGCGGTGCCCGGGCTCTCGGCCTACATGGACTCGCCGCTCAGGAGGTCGCCGGGGAGCAGCGTGTTCAGCGGGGTGGGGCTCCCGATCACCCTGCCGTCGTCGCCGCTGGGCGGGCCCCACAGGCTGCTCGAGTACTGGGGAACCCCGCCCCACAGCAGGTCACTGCTGCCCTTGCTGGCCAGGCACGGGGCGTTCCAGTGGCCGGCGTCGCTGCGCACCAGGCCGTGGGCGCTGCCCGAGGCCCCGAGCCGCGCCTGGCTGGTCCCGCTGCTGGACTGCCAGCTGGAGGTGGGCGGCAGCGCCTGGCCTTGCGCCAGGAAGCGGTTCACTTCCTCTTCGCCGGCAAACTCGGCCAGGATGGTAGTGTTTCCCAGCACACACCTGGAGAGAGAACAGCACAACTGAGACCTGGTGCTCTGCAAACAAAACCGACAAACCTTTCAAAAGCGCAAAGACTCAAATAACTACAACCAGACATGGAAGAGGAGACATTACAGCTGACACCACAGAAATGTACGGGATCTGGGAGACGACCGTGGACACTGTATGCCAACTAACTGATAACTAGAAGAAATGGATGCATTCTGAGAAACACACAGCCGACCGGGACTAAATCGTGAGGAAACAGGCACCTAAGCAGACCAGTAACAAGAACTGGTGCTGAGGAGCCCAGGACCAGAGCGTTTCACCGGTGAATTAAGAGAATTAATGCCCATCCCTTTCAGCTCTTCCCGAACTGAAGAGGAGGTGATGTTCCCAAACTCATTTATGAGGCCAGTATTGTCCTGATGCCAAAGGCAGACTGACCCCAGAAGAAAACGACCCGGTTACTGAACATACACGTAAAAATCCTTACAGTGTTAGCACACCACCTCCAGCAGCACATGAGAGGGTCAAACCCCATGGCCCAGTGCGACTCACCCCTGGGATGATGCAAGATGGTTCAACAGCTGCAAGTCAACAGATGGACAGACACCTCACGACACAGTGAAAGGTCAAGGTCAGACTAAGGTCAAGGCTAAGTCTCTAAGACGATTTAAAAACAGCATTTGACAAAACACACCCTTCTTTCATGATGAGCGTCCTCAACAAATAGGGTATTGACGGACATACAAAGGCCACAGGACACTCAACCAGGAGAGGTTAAACTTTCCTCTAAGATCAGGAACAGACAGGGTGCCCATCTCACCACTTCGATTCAACACAGTCTTAGAGCATTCAGGCAAGAGAAAGAAAGAAAAGGCATCCAAGTTGAAAAGGATGAAGAAAGACTATCATTGTTTGCAGATGACATGATCTTATACATAGAAAATCCTAAAGACTCAACCAAAAATCTGCTGGAACTAACCAATGAATTTATTCAAGTTGTAGGATATAAAAACAACAAACAGAAAACAGTTTCATTTGTATATCCTAACAATGAAATTCTGATAAATAAAAATAAACGAATAAACAAAAACCCACTACATTTACAATAGCTAAAAACAATAAAAATATTTAGGAATAAATTTAACCAAGGAAGTAATATATCTGTACAATGAAAACTACAAGACTTGCCGAAGCAGGTTTGGCTCAGTGGTAGAGCGTCGGTCTGTGGACTGAAAGGTCCCAGGTTCGATTCTGGTTGGGGCCATGTGCATTGGTTGCGGGCACATCCCCGGTGGGGGGTGTGCAGGAGGCAGCTGGCCGATGTTTCTCTCTCATCGACGTTTCTAGCTCTCTATCCCTCTTCCTTCCTCTCTGTTAAAAATCAATAAAATATATTTAAAAAAAAAGAAAAGAAAAAGAAAACTACAAAACTTAGATGAATAAAATCGAAGAAGATACAAATGGAAAGATATCCCATGTTCATGGATCAGAAGAATTAAAATAGTTAAAATGTCTATACAATCCAAAGCCATCTATGGATTCAATGAGACTCCCATCAAAATACCAATGGCATTCTGCACAGAGATGGTAAAAACGATCCTAAAATTTGTATGGAACTACAAAAGACGCTGACTAGCCAAAACAACACCAATCTGGAGGCATCACATCTCCTGATTCAAACTACACTCCAAAACTCTAGTAACCAAAACGCTATGCTGCTGTCATAGCAACAGACAGACCAATGCAACAGAATAGAAGCCCAAAAACAGACCCCATGTATACAGTCAACTGACACTTGACAAGAGTATCAAGGAGTCTCTTCAGGAAGTGGTGCTGGGAAAACTGGATAACCACATGTAGGAAAATGAAACTGGACCTTCAGTTCAGATTCCCCATAAAATTAACTGAGTGAAAGGCTTAAAAATAAGACCTGAAGCCAAAAACTCCTCCAAGAAAGCACCTTGACGTTGATCTTGGCAATGAATTTTTTTGGATGTGACAACCAAAACACTAGCAACAAAGGCAAAAATCAAAAGTTGGACGATGTAAACCTAAGAGCTTCTCACAGAGAAGGAAACCAGCAGGACAGGGAGAAGACAGCCTTGGAGCGAGGAGAACTTGCTAGCCAGCTGGTGAGGGGCTCCCGGGGCTGCACACCCTCCTGGGGCTTTTCCCCGGGGAGGGCATGGCCCGACAGCTCAGAGCAGGGGACACGGACACATCACAAGACACCTGTTCAGGGCGAATTGTCTCCTCCAGGTATCTGCCCTAGACCTAGCCTCCACAGGGGATGTCCTGTGTTTGGAGAAGGGTCACTGGAGGACAACTGAGGTGGGAAGAGGACACCAGGGTGGCCCTAGCCCGCTACGGCTGTGTCTTCCTCAGAGGAGGTGGTTCGGACACAGGCACCCCAGGCAACCCTGTGAGGACAGGGAGAGCAGCCTGGGAGGGAACAGCCCTGCCGATGCCTTGACCCGACTTCCGGCCTCCAGAACCACGGGACCGCCAGCGCCTGTGCCTGCGTGCTGACGGGGGTGCGGGCGGGAGGGACGTACATGTGCAGGGACTTCTGGGCCTTGGCGGCCTCCTCCTTGGAGCTGTACCGGACCACGGCGTTGCCTTGGGTCAGGTTCAGGTGGAATGTGATGAGCGGCCCATGCTGCAGGCACAGCGTCCGGAGGGTGGAGCCATCGATCTGAGGGGGAAGCAGAGGGACGGTAACGAGCTTCTGGGACTCTTCCACCACTTCCCGAGGAAATGAGTGCCGGGAACAGGGCTGCTCTTCAAGGGGCCTCTGCCTGCCCTTTGGTATGCCCTTCTGCTGCTCCGGGCCTTCCGGTTGTTGGATGGCAACACCAGGAGCAAGCAGAGCGCACCCCACAGGCCCGCGGCTCCCAGAAGCCTGTGGCCCGAGACCGGGAGGGCACAGCCACCACCCTCATGGGGGACAGTGACCAGTGAAGGCGAGCGAACACTTCAGGACCACGGCTCTCAGACGCCTGGCCTGTCCAGTCCCCCGGGCCCTGAGGGAGGGCGCCCAGCGCCAAGACTGCGCCGCGGTCACCGAGCCCCACAGTACCTGGGGCGTGAGGTTGCGAAGAACGAGCCAGCTGCTGGTCCTTCCTGAGGTGTCGGTGCTCCAAGCAGAGCCTGCAGACCAGGGAGAACTGTCAGCTCCGCGGCCGCCACCACCCACAGCGCAGGCCCACGGCGCTCCGGCACCTGCTGCTCACCGGGCGGGCACAGGGCTGCCTGGGCGGGCAGACAGCCTGCCTCACGCCGGCTCTCCCGCGCCCTCCTTTCCCGCTCCCCGCCGGCCGGCGGAGAGGGCGCCTGCGGGAGCCACGGCGCTGTGGCTCGGAGGGTCTCACACGGGCCTGTGTGGCCGGAAAGCGGGGACGCCAGGGCAGTGATGGAGGGGCAGCACGTGTCAGGGTGGAACTGAGACCCTGTGCTGGTTGACAGACATGTCGGGCCCTGTGTGGCCCTGGATGTGCATGACCCCAGGGCATGCTGACAACTCTGGGCCCAGACAATGTCTGCAGAGTCACGGGCACCTTGACCCCTATAAGCCTCTCAGGTCGGGGGGCGGGGGGTCCGGGTCCTCAGAGGAGCTGCAGGCTGTTCCCCAGAGGTGAGCAGAGCAGGCGGGAGCCCCCGGAGCGGGAACCCACGCGTACCCGAGGAGTAGGAGCTGGTCCAGCCGAGGGGGCTGGCTCCCCAGGTGGAGGAAGGCTTGGGATTGGTCAGCCCCGGGGGCGGCCTGGTGGGTGCAGCCGTGTTCCTGGGCGCCTTCCACAGCTCGTGGGACAGAGAGGCCTGCGCGTGGGAGGCGGGGCCCGAGGGCCACGTCGACTTCATGTCGGACAGTTTACCTGGAAGGACAGCGGGACGGCACGTGAGAGGTCAGAGGGACCCGCAAAGGGCTCAGCGCCGCAGGCTGCGGGAGGAGAGGCGCCGAGGAACACCCACGCCACCCTGCACCGCTCCCGCACGTCCCCTGGACGCGGTGCCTCTGACCAGCGTCTGAGACTTAACCCGCAGCCAAATGTGCCAAACACAAGCCCGCCGTCGAGAAAACAGCGCTCTTGAAGCTGACGTGCAGCTAACCCATTGACACACGTGACCCCGAGGCCTCGCCCCCTGCAGACACCTTCCAGGGCTTCCTGACCGCCCGCCCAGGGCCCCGCCGAGCCCGCCCACCTATCTCATGTGGAACCTGGTGGAGGACACATGCTTTAAGGCTCTGCCCTCCGCTGCCCTGAAGTGCACACGGATGTTCCGTCCTCACAGCCCGCCCTCCGCCTTCCGCTGGAGTCCGAGTCCGACAGGCATGCCCGCCCCTGGCATCGGGGCTCCCCAGAAGAGGGCGGAGTCAGGCTTTACCTGACGTTCTGGGGGAGGACAGGAGGCTGGGAGGAAGGAGTAAAGGGGCGGTGGCTCATTTTCATTTAAAAAGATTTCTGGTGGAGATCTCGTCACTGGCCAGCTTAGTGGTGACACTGACTCTATACCATGCAGTGCAGTGCGATCCAGCCAACACCAGCTCCGGTGCCTGCAGTCTCGCTGGAGCAGACCTGACGGCTCTCCCGCCACCATGCCCGCCTCAGAGCCCACACAGCCCAGCACAGGCCTCACCGCCGCTCTTGAGGAGGTAGCGGTTGACGTCCTGGATGGTGGTGTTGATGGTCGGCCCGGTGGGGACGCTTCCAGGCGTGACGTCAGGATCATTCTCGGGGTCTATGTTCTGAAGTCCTTTCCACGGAACTCCAGGGTGAAACTCTGGGAAGGTCCAAGCAAAACGGAAGATCAAACATGAGGATTAGGCGCCTCCGCATGCTGCAGGTATTTGTGGGAGTTTGAATAGTTTGCAGATTAAATCAAAGGGACAGCTTCAGACTTTCAGTAACTTGTCAATCCCCTGAGCAGGTGGGAAGCCTTGTTAGCTGGCTCAGGGGGGAGCTAGCCCCACGCTGGCTGCTGGAATTCCGGGCCAGGGAACGTCGCTCCTCTCACCGAACTGAGAGGCCCCTGCCCCGCACTCCACACCCCCGCCCCCCAAGCTGACGTGGCCCGGGCTTCCAGGGACAGCCGAGGCCGCGGGCTCGCTGCTCTCCGGGCGAGTGCAGGCCGGTCTGCCGCTCTTACCGGGGGGCCAGTTGATGCTGGAGCCGTTGGAGATTTTATCGCTGTCGGATTTGGCACGTGACCAGCTATGGGGGACAGCTACTGGGGGACTGGCTGGTGACTCGCTGTTCTGGATCAGATCGTACCGGCCGAAGGAGTCGTCCATGGAGGACTTGGCTGGAGGCCCGATGCTCAGACCTCCAGGGATAGCACCTGCGGCGCAGCGGAGAGTGTGAATGGGGACCCCGGCCCCGCCGGCCCCGCCGGCCCCGCCCTTGTCCTCCCAGGGTGCGAGCTGCAGGGAGGGACTTCGTCCTGGAGGACAGACTCTTCAGGATCTGCACCCGTGTCTGGCTGCACAGCGTGACAGAATGCACCCGAACCCCAGAAGCTGGCCTGCAAGCCTCTCCAGGGACCATGTCTGAGCGTCTGTCCTCGCTCCCTCCAGGTGCTGCCCTCACTGCAGGACAGACTGACTGTGAACTCAGCCCCAAGCGCACACACTCGCCGCCTCGCGCGGCCGAGCTCCCTTGTGACGCTCTTCCTGGCGGTCAGCTATCGTACGGCATCTTCCTTTTCTCTGGGATGTTTCCCCAGGCGGCAGTCCGTGCCCTCTCACATCTTCTCTGCCGTTTCTGCATCCGGGAAACTTAGAGCTAAAGGGAAGCTGACTAGTGTGCCCGCCTGTGGTTATCAGCACGCGTGCCTCTCCCCGCTTCCTAAGCCTGCATTCCTACTGCTTTCTCACTTCCCTGGAAGCAACGCTGTGGAACAGACGTGACAAGAGCACGCAGGCTGGCACCTAGCGGGGCTGCCCCGGGGTTTCCAGCTCCTTCCAGGGTGGCAGCTAAGATCTGGGGCTGGAGGTGTCAAGGAGTCCGACCCTGACTGCGGGGCGTGCGCTCTGCGGGGAAGCGGTTCCTATGCTCTCAGCACCGAGGCCTACCGTGCTTGCCAGGGTTCTGGTCGAGAGGAGAAGCAGCACCGGGAACGTTCTCCATCGGGTTGGGGTGTGTCCACTGAGGGAGGCGCGACTGGGACTGAGACGGGTCCTTCACCGCCAGACCGCCCGTCATGTCCATGCTGCTGACGTTCATGGGGGGGTTCAGTCCAGCTGAGGAGGAGAACGCTGTGAGAGCCTGCTTCCTCCGGCTCCCAGACCGAGGCCGAGAGGACGGGCGGCACTAGGATGTGACGCCAGGGCATCCTAGGACCATGATGGAACCGAATCTGTTCTGAAAACAACTCTTCTTCAAGAGGCAGCGCTGCCACCAACAGCCAGCACTTCACCAAGGACTCGCTATGCGCTGCGCGCTATCCTAGGAACGCTCCCTGTCAGCTCATAAAGAACTTTACAGATGGGGAAACTGAGGCAGTCAAAGAGCTGCCAAGGAAGCTGTGCAAGTGAGTGGTGAGCCTGTCGGGAGTGGAGGAGGGACTTCCTGCCCGCCTTCAGAGTTTCACCCGGAAGGACTTACAGAGCGCCGCGCCCTCAGAGGCGGGAAGCCGAGGCCGCCGCTCTCAGCTGCCGAACGGTGTGTCCCCGAGACCCTCCGTGGCGAGCCAGGCCCGGAGACTCACCGAGAGGGTAAGGAGCGAAGGCGCTGGGCGAAGACTGCTGCTCTTTGGTCTGCAGGTCGGGCAGGCCGGGGGCCGGGGGGTGCGGCGGCGGGCGCGGCGGCGGCGGCGGCTTGGCGAGCAGGGCCTGGGCCAGCTGGCGCTGCTGCTGCTGGATCTGCTGCTGCAGGCTGGCGACTGTCCGCGCGGCCTGGCGGCGGCACGCCCGTCAGGGGCGGCCATGTCCGGCCCGCCAGCCCCCCCCAGACCCAGGGGGCCCCGGGCTGGGGCAGGGAGCGTCACGGGGGAGACCCAGCGGCAACAGAGCGGCCGCCCATCCGCCCCCGGGGGCAGGGGGAGAGTGCAGGGACCCTGAGCCAGCGACGCCCACCTGCTGCTCCTGCTGCCTCATGGGTCCGGATGCGCCCCGCTGGGCCTGCAGCAGCTGCTGCTGGATCTGTAGGCGCTGGCACGCCTGCAACGGAGCCAGAGCGGTGAGGGCTGCCGCGGTGCTGGGCGCGGCCGCAGAGCAGAGCAGAGCAGAGCGGACGGCCCAGGCTCCTCCCCTCACACCCGCTCCTCCCTCTGTCCCTCTGACATCAGTGAAAACACGGCCCGGCGAGGGTGGAGAAAACAATGAAATTAAATCCACAGGGACTCTGAGAGAGAACCAAGTCCTGACTGCTCTGTAACAAAGCAGCTGTAACCTCCCTCTGCTTCTAGAGTCTGTGTCCCCCTTAGGAGGATTTAGATAGTCACTGGCGTTCTGTGCTGAGCCGGGGAGGGGTGAAAGCTCAGACCACGCATGCCGGAGGTCAGGGAGGTGCTGTGCACAGGAAGGGCCCGAGGGGACAACTCGTACACCACCCGTAAGGAACACCTTCCTCATTCTCTTTACGCTCACAACGGAGCTGCCTCCGTGACCATCAGCATCCCACTGACTACTTAGTCAGGCCCCCTGGTGGCCCCCTGCGCTGTCACCTTCATGAGCACCAGGGGGCGCTCCCCTCACCCCAGCGCAGGGCCGGGGCGGCTGTCACTCACCAACTGCAGCTGATAGAGCTGGTTCAACATCGTCATATGCTGAGGGTTAATTGGCGAGGTTAATAGTGCAGGGTTGAGACCAATGTTTTTTGCTGCAAACTGCAAAAGCTGTGCTTGAACCTGTGCAAACACACACCGAGGCGCCGTGTTACTTTCAGAGCATTTCCGTGTCTGTGCCGCTCCCAGATCCAACCCACCCATTCAATGACAACTGGTCTCCTGAGGGACTTCCCCAGCCACCGAAACACCCGAGGACCCTTCACATTAGTTAACAGGCTTTTGTGAAGAGCAAGGAAGGAGGAAGGAGGGAAAAGGAAAAGGGAAAAGTTCCCCCTTCAAATGTTCTACCATGAACTAACTTCCTCATTTCTCTCCTAGGAGCGGCTCTAGGTCGCCTGCAGAGGAGTCTTGGGGCCAATGGAGGGAATGCAGACGGGGCAGGGAGGTGAGGGAGGAAGGCGGCTTCCCGCCCCACAGCACCCCCCCACCCCCCGCCAGGGTCTTGTCCCGGGGCGGGCAGCAGCCCCTTCTCAAGTTGGCGTACTTGGGAAGTGGTGCCCCTGCTCACGGGAGCAGACACCCCTAGGTGGGCACACGTCCCTCAGCCTCTCCGCTGGCACCTGCACCTGTGACTCTACCAGCCTGACCTTGACTGTCAAGGGCGCCTCTCCGCCTTAACTGCCGCCCTGACAGATGGGGGCTGGCACTGGCTGCTGCCATGCTCCCCACGGGGTGCCTGCCCACACCGAGCACGGGGGCAGGGTGGTTTCGGGCACCATGTGGGTGAGCGGCTTCTACGCCCCTGGCTGCTGCACGTGCACGAGAAGCGTGCGCTTCCCTGTGGATGCGCCGTCTTCCTGAGGAATAGACCTGCTGAGGGGAGGGAAGGCGGCCAGCTGCCTGGCAGGAGACACTGGGAGCCGGTGTGGGCACCTGTGTGCGGGCGGGGAGTCTGCTGCCCGCTCCCCGGCCTCCCCCCGCCTGCAGGCCGCAGTGGCGTGCCGGGCAGGGTCCCCAGCGTGCTGCTGGGCAGGGCCAGGGGCTCTGAGACCCGGGGTGCGGAGGCTGCGCCGGGCTGACCTGAGGGGATAGAAACTGAGGCACTTGCGCACGGAGACTGGGCTGGGAGGGGTTCAGCGGCGGCCCGGGCGGCGGTGGCGGCGGCTGCAGGGTCCTGGCTTGTGCTGCTCCGCTGCTGCCGAACACGCCCAGATTGCCGCTCGGTATCTGTAGGGAGAGGGACGGGTCAGCGCCGCTGCCGCCGCCGCCTGGCGAGTGATGACTGCTTTCTTACCACAACGCAGCGGTCCCCTCCCTTCTGCGACTGAGCAGGGGCTGTGAGTGCTGTGCCTCGGGGCATGGGCGGCGGGAACCAGCCCAGGCGCAGGCCCACGTTTGCACCACAGAGGCGCCGGTGCGGGGCCGGGCAGAGGCTGTCCCGCAGCAGCCGGTAACACAGCTCCGGGTGAGCTGACCACACGGCCGTCCCTTTGGCGCGGACTGAGGGAGGAGCGGGGTCACAGCGGAGAGGGGCTGCCATTTCCACAGGATGGACGGGCTGAATGGCACGGGCAGGCAGTTCCCGGGGACACTGCGCTGAGCCCGGCTGGCTGTGCAGACCCCGAGGGCCAGCAGACAGCGGGAGACGCTGCTGATACTCAGCCTGACCACAGGCGGCAGCAGCTGCTTGGCCCCTGAATGTCCCAGCACCCCACCAGGACAGGCAGGATCCTCCAGGCGGGACCGGGCGCAAGTCCTCCCTCCAGTGACGGTGACAGCGATCGCCTCCCGGCTGGCCCTCCGGCTCGGAGACGGGGGCGGTGACCAGGACAGCGTGGCTAAGCCCGGGCGCCCAGGTCGAGGCAGAGGCTGCTCGGCTACGTGCTCTGCTGGGAGAGCAGCCAGCGAGCCCCGAGGGCTGAGCCCCCGCATCTCCGTCCCGGGAAAAGCACCCCACACGGCCGCCCCGAGGCCTGGCTCCCTGAAGGGACTCCTAAGGGCGCCGCCCGCTCACGCCCGGGAACGGGTGCTAATGAGAGAACACAGAGCCCCAAGCGCCCCGGGCAGGCCCCAGTGCAGCCCCGCCGCCTTACCTGTCGAGAAGAATTCAAGTTTTGCATGCCCAGCCCTGAGGCGATGCCACCCAGGGCCTGATTGGGGAGTGCACTGTTTGAGAGGGGGGGCTTCAGGCTTGGCGAAGGCAAAAATGGTGAAGTCGTGGGCTCTTCCACGAGGCCGCCGTCCTGATTGGAGAGAGAAAGGGTGAGCTGTGCGGGCCCGGCACACAGCACAGGGCAGCGTCCCGGGACACACGGGCGTACGATGCAGAGAGAATGGAAGAGGAGAGGCGGGCAGGGTGGAGAGCAGGGGCAGGCGGAGGGAAGAGAAGAGAGAACGGGGTTAAGGTGTCGTTTTCACGTAGACAGTTATTTACAAGCACACACATCAGAGCATCACCCCCCCCTGAGCCTGCGGGGAGCCGGGAGCAGCGGAGACTGGGAAACACCCGCAGCCATTTCCCCCAGCAGCTCCCTTCAGAGGCTGCGGCCGGCGGGCGGGTGGGCGGGCGGGCGTACTGCTCACCGCCGTCTTAGGCCGACCGCACAGCAGCCTCGGCGCTTCAACCTAGTGAGCGGCGAGTCCGGCCACACAGAGCCCTGCGGACGTAGTTCATGAGGTGATGCTGTGAGTCAGACCTGCGCAAGCTAACCATCTGACTTCCCAGCAGGCCTGAGCGTCACTCCACAACTGAAGGGCGAGGAAGCCGACAGGCTCCCATTAGCCAGTGAGACACAGAACGCCGAGCTAACAGGACGCCAGACAGAGAACATGTGCTGTTCGGACAGTGCGCTCCCGAGCTGCCTGTCTGAAATCCCAGCGTCACTGGGACTGTGGAGCGGAGCCCGGCCCACCCCGCTCTCCACGGGGCCTGAGAACAGAGGAGCCCTCCCTCCGTGAGCCCTTCCTGCCCTCCTCAGTGTCCTTTCTGGCTCCCAGCTCCTCTCCCAGCCTCCCACTGGCATGAACCAGAGGGGAGCTTTGTGGTCACATCCGGAGCCAGGACGTGGCTCCCGGACAACGCGGGAAGGACCGACAGTGACTGCACGTGTTCCACGCCCGGGGACGCCGCACACACCAGCGCGCTGTCTGGCCCAGCGAGGGCCGGTGGCCTGGGCCTGCCCCTCGGCCCTGCCTCAGACCCACACACAGCACCTCCTCTGGGAAGCAGCGTGCACGGCCACCAGGTTGGATGCCCCCTGGCTGCTGGACAAATGGAGGCAGGGAAGCCAGCAAGTTCACCCCCTACAGTGGAATGGGTTTCAAAATCAGTGTTTTTTATCCCTCGTCGCATCACAGAACAGGCAACGCTCCCTCTCTTGGGGTGAGCATTTACATACACCAGAGACACTGGGAAAAGTCCCTCACAGGTCACTGTCCGGCCAGCTTTCACCTGGTTCCCCGTAAGGACACGGTAAAGTGGATGTCTCCTCAGACGGACGGAGCCACTCCCTCATACCTTGTCGAGAAAGGCGGGGCGGTCCACGGAAGACTCTTTGGAGATCGGTGGGCGGCAGCCAAGGGGCTTGGTGACCATCCCATTGTAGTCGGTCACCCCCAGTCCACGCTTGTCCACGTCCACCTTCTTTTCCAGCAGAGCACCTGTGGCAGACACGGCATGACTGAGGCGCTGCCCGGCTGGTCCTGACCCGAGCATGGGGCCCTCGGCCTGCACAGGGAGGCCCTGCTCCTGGCCCCTCGCTCTGATGGCCTGTTCCCCTCGCTCTGCCTGCCCGCTCCCAGCCCTCACCCGCTCTGTCTGGCCATAGCCCCTCGGGGCTCAGCGGTCCTCTCCCTGGTGACCATCCCTCCTTTGGTGGCCACTTCTCAGAGGGCCTTCCCTTTCCCACCCACAGCCACGGATCTGACTGGCTGGGCTCCTCCTTGTTGCCAGGACCCTCTTAGCTGTTGGGGACGCCACACCACGCAGTTTACTGAGCCCACCGCCTCCTCTGTGGGGCACATCACACACTTCCCCTCTGCCTGGCCCGCCCGCCCAACACATAGCCACCCTCCCCCACACCCAGCCTTCAAACAGCCTGCCAGGGTGTGACTCACTCATGGCCTGGTCGAGGTTCATGTTGTTACTCTTCAAGGCCTCTTCAGCTGGCTCTCTCTGCGGGAGACGGCGGTATTAGGGCTGGTGTTGGCAGAGGAAATGCTGACGGAGCTCCAGAGCCGGCTCCGGGAGGGACAGGGCTAACCTAGCGTTACCAGCTGGGCACGGGGCGCACCTCCCTTCCTTGTCGGTTAGTGAAATGTGTCACAGACCAGACACCTGCCTGGGAAGATGCCCTCAGAAGGGAGCACAGAGCGTGAGAACACGGAGCAGCTCACAGCTCAGGGCGGGACTTGCACAGCGATGGGAAGGGAAGCGCGGTCTCCCTGAGGCTGTGGAGACCCTGGCGGGAGTGCTGGCAGAGGGGCAGCCTGTCGAGCTGAGCTCCCGCAGTGCCAGCTGAGGCATCAGCAGACAGGACAGTGTCCAGAGGAACAGCCTGCGGCTGGGAGCTCCCTCCCCTTCATGGAACGAGCAGGTGGTTATGGCTGTATCTGCAGCCCCCTGTACACGAAGCCTTCTTGGGAGCTCTGCCAGCCTATTGCGTACACAATAAAGACTCCCTTTTAACTGTAAATGAAAATGTAAGACTGTGTGAACCCCAGGATTGTTAACTCCAGAGAAGGGTGCTCACACCCTTCTTCCCAGAAGGACCGGCTCTTCGCCGTGGCTCAGAGTGGCGCCCCCACACAGGGCCCAGGTGAGGGGCCTGCGAGGCTGTCATGACACCATCTCCTCCCATCCTGGCTACACGAGGGCCGGACAGAGGCCCTGCAGGGGACCGGGGGGAGGGCCGGACAGAGGCCCTGCAGGGGGACCGGGGGGAGGGGCCGGACAGAGGCCCTGCAGGGGGACGGGGGGGGGGGGGGCGGACAGAGGCCCTGCAGGGGGACTGGGGGGAGGGCCGGGAGGGGTGCAGTCACCGGGAAGCCCATGTCGGTGAGTTGCTTGATGAGCCGGGTCAGGATCCAGGCCTCGTCCTGCTTGCCGGATGCTTTCGTGCCCTGGAAGGAAGCGAGGGCAAGGGGAGCCGTGAGCCCTGCGCTCGGGGATCTAACACCATGGGACCCGTGTTCATGCTGAGCTTTGGGTGATGAGGGGGCAGGAGTGCAGGCATGGACTCAGAGAGCTGACATCTCTTCCCGAGGGACTCAGTGCAGCACAGCCGGTCACTGCCACCACCCAGCGCCCGACCCTGCACGTCGACTAAAGCCACAGAGCTCTGCCTTTTGTAAGCTTTACCCTAAAGGGCAGCACAACTCAGGGGTCCCTCCCAACAGAACAAAACACCTGTCAACTCTAGGGGCTATCACTGCTTACAGCCCTGAAGGAGGGAGGAGGGAAGGAGGAGGGAGGCCAACTCCAGTCCCCTCACTGGGAGATGGCACGCTGTCTCACAGGAGGCAGGGAGCTAAGGGGTCTCTCCTCACGGAGCAGCCCACGGGGAGGGAGCTGCTCTGCCCTTGCAGTGCGCCCGGCTTGCTGGGGCCCAGTCTCGCTGACCAGGGTGGCATTCCTGGCGCCCAGAACAGGATGCTTTGAAAAGACGGCTCTGTGATGCCTGCAGTCCCACTACTTGCCTTGCTGACCACTGAATGCTCTTAAACTTTTTGAACAGTTACTACATCGATAGCTTTGAAAGGAGAAAAAAGGGACACACGAAAGCACCTCTTGCACCCCCCTGCCCGTTCTTGTTCTTGTTCTCTCCAAGGACAAGCCACTCTGAGCAGTGCCTTACCCACCCCCTCGGAGACCTTCCAACTCCATACAAGCTGCAGTGCGCGCGCCTGCACGCATGCATGCACGTGCACGCGAACGAACACACACACACACACACACATGCGCGCGCACACCTTCCTCTTCTTTTCCACTCCCCACCCTGAAGTATATGAGCCTATAGCACTATACACAAAGGTAATATACTCCCTTTCCTGTGTCTTACCGTTTTTTACTGAATATATTTTGGTGATCTTTCCATATCAATTTATATAGAATTTCTTTTAAAATATGTTTAGCTTTCTATAATACGGACGTGGCATAACTTAACTAGTCACCCCAATAATGCGCACCTAAGCTATGTTTTTCCTTGTTTAACTACAGAAACGCCACATACAAGACTGTACACAAGTGCCATTCGCTAGCCCATGACCGCGGAAGTGCTGCACCTGGCCTGCGCGTGGACACAGAACCACGGCCCTCCACTGGGGGGCGCTAGTCCACACCCACAGCAGGCGGCGGCGGCAGCTCAGGGCCCGGGGAGCAGAGGTGTCTGCTCCATTTCCGCACCTCTCTCCGCCTTTTACTGAACTTCCCGCAGGCCAGGCTGCCGCCCTCCCATCCGTTTACGGCTATCGGCATCCTTTTCCAGAAATTATCTGTTCGCACTCTAGGCTCGTTTTTCTATTGGGTTCCTGGTTGACTTAAAATCAGCTCTATTGGTTTGGCTCAGAAGGTAGAGCATTGGCTGGAAGGGTCCCAGGTTCAATTCTGGGCAGGGCACGTGCCTGGGTTGCAGGCTGGATCCCCAGTCAGGGACGTGCAGGAGGCAGCCGATCCAGGATTCTCTCTCCTCATTGATGTTTCCGTCTCTCTCTCCCTCTCTGACATCAATAAAAAATAGATATATAATCAGTGTCTAGGGCCGTTTTTACATTCGATCTTAGCCAAAAGGCCGAGACGGGAGAGGACCTTTTAGATACAGGTCTGCGCCATGAGTCACAGATAATTTTTCCAGTGGCTGTTTCCGGCTGACTATGGGAGTCTATGTCAGCAGCTTTTATCTTTACCGACTGCGTCTGCCAGCCCTCGCTGTCCGCTGCAGAGAGGCTGCCTCTCCCAGGCTTTCCCGCTTTCCTTTCTGCGTTTACACTTGTGATCTGCTCGCAGGCTGGTGCGCCACTGCTGCGGCTTCTCCAGAGGCTGCCTGCGGGGGCAGCCAGGGTGGCACTGCCCTCCGGTCTCTCAGAGGAAGGAGCCTCCCAGGTCAGCGGCACTCCCGTGCCCTGCGCCTCCGCCCCGGCCTGCCCCGCGTGTCCCCAGAAACCCCCCTTCACCGCGGCCACTGGAACGCAGTGTCAGCCCCCCCGCGGGCGCGCACACCTTCTGGAGCCCCTTCTTGGGGGCGTTCCCCCAGGAGCTGCAGGAGGAGGAGTCCTGGGCGGCAGCGCCGTTCCACACGCCCCCGTCGTCCTCCCACTGGCTGGGGCCCAGGCTCACGTCGTCCCCACTGCTGCCCCAGCCTTCTTGCATAGATTTTGAAGCTGGAAAGAGAGCGAACAGGAACCTGTCAGACTCACCGTTCCCGCACCGAGCAGACAGTGCTCGCGGCAGTGCTACCACCCTCCCCACTACCCTCCCCACACCTGAGCGCTACCACCCTCCCCACACCGGCTTCATGTCCACGTGGCTCTGAGCGGCCCGCTCCCAGACTGACCACTGACCACAGACGGTGCTGGAGCAGGAGCTGCTACGCTGAACCTGGGCCCAGAAGGTGGCAACCTCCGCGTGCAGGAAGGCCACTGTCCTCGGGGGCTCACCCACCTGCCCCACCCGCAGGCGCCCCAGCAGTGCCCGGCCCCAGTCCCGACTAGCTCCCTGATCGACTGGGCGGGGCAGCCAGGCCTCAGGCGGGGCGCCAGGCCGAGCACCACCCCCACTTCGGGGCACCGTCTTCTCACTTAAAACGCAGTGACTGTGTGTGAAGTTTATGCGACATCCTCACCGGCCCGGAGACCCTCCCTCCCCTTCCTCTGGAGGCTGCCAGGCATGAGACGTGATGCTGACATGGAGACAGGCACCTAACCAGCGCACTGCTGCCCACCGGCCTGGGACCCTGAACCCCAGAAGCTGCCTGCCCCTCAGATTCGGAGCCGGGAGCGTGAGTGCCATGAAGAGCCCAGCAGGGCGGCGGCCCGCGCCCACCCAGTGCCCGCAGAGGAACAGACCGGAGCTGGCCGAGCTGCGTGCTTTAGTCCAGGGAAGAGCTCAGACACATGACGTCCAGCGATGTGCAGCCTCTGCAGCCGTGAGCAGTGAACGTGAGCATCCGATGAAGCAGCAGCCGCCCCCTAATGCTGCAGCATCACCTCCCACCCGCCCGAGCGCCCTGGGTGCCGTGCTCCGAGCACATAAGGCAGTGCTCCACCCGCACTTCTCACACTCAACAGTGCGAGGGGCAGGCAGCACCTTTTCTCCCCTTTAAAAAACACCACACAAAAACCCAGAAACTACACACACACTCACCCTCACCCTCACACACATACTCACCCTCACACACACACACATACTCACCCTCACACACACACACATACTCACCCCCTCCCCACACACACACTCTCTCTCACACTCACACTCACACTCTCTCTCACACACACTCACACATCCCCCCCCACAGTCACACACACACACAGTCACACACACACACACACAGTCTCACACACACACACACACAGTCATACACACACTCTCAAACTCTCACACTCATATACACACTCACACATCCCCCCACACACACAGTCACACACACACAGTCACACACACACACACACACTCACACTCACAAAGCATAGAAAGAGGAACATATCTGTGGCCACAGCAGGATTCTGTCCCCCAGACCCAGCGAGGACGGGGGCAGACAGGGAGGCGGCCCGCGGCTCTGAGCGGACTGGGCGGGAGGGGCGCCGCTTCCGGCTCAGGCTCAGGCCGTGCCGCCCCGGCTCCCAGCAGCCGCTGCAGGGCTGTGTGCAGCCACGTACTCCATATTGTTCTGGTTCTTTTGTGCATTTACTTATTTTTTTTAAAAGGAAAGCTGGGCTTCTGCCTGGTGCTCACGCACCAGACCTGCAAGCATTTCTTTTCAGCCTTATTTAATGGTGCTGTGTAAATAAAATGAGGAAAGTGGCCTAACACTCAGGGGGAGCACCCCTCTAATCCAACCTCGGACCCATGTCTAAGCTGCCAAACCAGGGCAGCAGAGCGGGGCTCGGTACCTGGTTTGCACAGGGCTGGGGCGGTGGCAGGCACGCCGGCTCTCCCGAACGCCACGGCCGGCTCGGGGGGCTGGTCTCCCCAGCCGCTGCCGCTGCTGGGAGGCTTGCCCCAGGCCGCGGTGCCGTTGTCCACCAGGGTGGACGGCGAGGCCGGCTCTCCCCAGGAGTTCTCCGCCTTGGAGTGGATGTTGGGCATTTCTCCCCAGCCCGAGGATACTGCACAGGACGCCATGGGGAGAGAGAGAGAGAGAACAAAATGAAACAGAGAAAGGAAACAGTAATTTCAAATCCAAACAACCTGAGATCATCTGTCTTAAAGAGGTTTTAGTAGAAATGAAAAGGAGATATTAAATCTCATCAGGTTTGTTCAGCTTCTTCAAGCTGCAATTGCCTCATCCTGATCCTATCATCCTGATCCTATCACTTAGAACGCTAAGTCCATATCTTCAACAATAAAGGTAAATAAAACATAAATTGCAAGTCCATTAGACATTGAAGACCATTACATTCACAGTTTTTGCAACGTAACAGGATTTAAAAGAATAGTTTAAACAAACAGTTTAAACAAATGGGGAAGAAGTAGCCGTTTACTTCTGATATTCTATGCAACAACCTAAAAGAAACTTTGTTACCTTATTTTCTTATAAGGGAAGTTTACAAGTTGCAAACCCATACTGAAAAGTTACTTTTGCTTATCTCTTGACCAACCATCAGACAGCGATCCCGGCAGACGGCAGAGGACACAGGCACAGATACAGCAGGGACTGGGTACCAGACAGCTCCCAGGCCCCGCGTGGTGGCTGAGCTAGAGCCAGGCCCTTGTCTCAGAGGGAACAGAATGGGAACTGGGGGCAGGGGCCCAGAAGGCACACTGATCGCAAGGGTTTCCTGGGAATCCTTCCCCGTCCCTCTGCTCAGTCCTGGGCCAGAGCCTCCGTTACACACGTGACGTCACTCTCCGGAGCAACAGTAATCTGGTCACTGCGCACTGCCCTGAGCTCACTGGACACTGTGCTAGCCACGCTCTCAGACAGACAGGGGTTCTCAGGTGGAAATAGACTGTTTTAAATACTAACTGAATAGACCAGTGGTCGGCAAACTCATCAGTCAACAGAGCCAAATACCAACAGTACAACGATTTGACATTTCTTTGGAGAGCCACATTTTTTAAACTTAAACTTCTTCTAATGCCACTTCTTCAAAATAGCCTCGCCCAGGCCGTGGTATTTTGTGGAGGAGCCACACTCAAGAGGCCAAAGAGTTGCATGTGGCTCGCGAGCCGAGGTTTGCCGACCACTGGAATAGAAGAACAGAAGGCATAACACGCAAGCAGTTAACCATAGATTTTCAATTATTTGGTTGCAACATGGATATTGCCATCTCAATTAGAAAACATTAATTCTCTGACTAAAATAGCATGGAATCACTCCCCGTGCCACTCTTTATTCTAATAAAATACAACAATATTGATTAATGACCAGAGGACATGCAACTATGAGTCATTTTAAATTACAAGCTCTATGCTGAGCAATATATTATGTAAATGATCACCAACAACAGGGAAGCTAGCTCTAATCAGTTACTGTCGGCAGTTGTCAACTAGAACATCACCTGTAATTACACAGAAAACAATAGTGTATGTATATTTGGAAAAGCAGTTTTACAAGCTGAAGGGACAAAATTAAATCAGGGAAATTAACAGAGCTGAAAAAAATGATGTGTGTTGTGGAGTGATAAAATAATTTAGCTGTCGCTAACGGCCAATCTGTTGTAAAAATACTGATTTATCATAGGTAATTACAAGTAAATGAAGAATTCGCCTAAAACTTGTCATCCTTCTACTTCCATATCTTTGAAAGGCAAAACTACAAATGCAAACTACACGTAAACATTTAAGACTATGGTAATTGTAGTTAGTTAATTTTTGCAAAGAGTTTTTAATTCCTATTAAAGCAGCAGAAATGTCTACAGACTATTTTTATATAGAAGGCAAATGATTTGCAAAGGCAGCATGTTTCAAAATCTTAAAAATAAGTGGAAAAATAATTGCCCACTAAAAAGTGAAAATTCCCAGTACTTCCACTTGAGGTTGATGTCTGGAAAGAATAGATTTACCTTCAGTGCCAAACTAACACCGCCAGAATGTGCCAATGGCTCAGGAGAAATGCTAAGAGCAGGTGGACTAGGTGATTTTGATGCCTTGTAGACAGAAAATAACCCTAAATACATGCTGCTAAAATAAATGGAATCGCTGTTTGGTGCTGATTGCTGGGTGACTTGGTACCCTTTATGTTAATGATCTTATAGAGGCTGTTTAAAGCTGGGCTTAATGAGGTGGAACAAATTTCTACTTTATATTTAAATTTTTAGAACATGAATATTAAAATTTAAAAATGGTCCTTCAAATACAGGGCAGGGCGAAAGTAGGTGCACAGGAGTTCGTATGAAAATGCAATAATTAATAAACAATAATTAATAAATACAAAAATAAGCGGTGTTTGCATCCTCCCGCCCTGCCCTGTCCTGCCGCTCCGGGCAAAGCTCTCCTGCCCGGAGGGCTCCAGCAGTGGGGACCTCCCTTCTCCCGGGGACACACAGGCCGGGAATGAACGCTACCACACATGCTGAATAAAACAGTAACAGAAACCAAACGCACGGGAGCGTGCCGTGTATTCCACTTCAGACCCACATCCCCCCTCCTAAAGCGAGAGGAAACAAAGCGCCAGGAGGAGGCGCCCGGCAGGCGGGAGCCAGAGCAGAAGCCGTCCCTGACAGGCTACTGTCGCGGGCCACCAGCTAAGGCGGCAGACTGCATTCTTTCTTCTGTGAAAGGAAAACCCAAGTCGCGCCTGTCCCACGGCTGGGATGCTGCTTGTATCGGTCCTCAGTGTGGCAGGCAGTCCTCCCGGGAGAAGGCCCGGTTAAAGTGGCCAGTTGTAAGGGAGGGAGGAAGGATAAAGGCCTACCGCTGTGATGGGGCATCTGAGCGCCTGCTCCCTGCTCGGCACTGCGGGGCTCACTTATTAGTAAGACGGGGCTGCTCACTCCGGGCTGGGAAGTGCGACGCAGGGTCATCACGGCGCGGCGGGCACTGGCCGTGGAGGACAGAGCAGAATGGCAGCCGCAGAGCCGTTCCCCAGGGAACAGTGGGACAGAGAGGGGCTCTAGCCAGAGGAGTCTGCTCAGCCAGGCGGACAGGGCGCTGCTTTTCAGATGCCTGGTTCGTGCTACTTGTCTGACCTCCGTCCCACTCAGGGGACTGAGTCCCACTCAGGGGCTGAGGGAAGGATCTTTCCCAAAGCTGGCCACGTGGCACCTGCCACTTTGCTGTTCTGATTGGCATGTGCACTGATGTTTCACTTCTACCTGCTGTTGCAAGAGGCAACCCCAAGCAAGAGTTCATGCCTCACTCCAAGGTCCCTGGTGTAGCTCAGATCAAGTCCATAAAGGCCTTCATATTGGATTCTACTCCAGCCCCCAATCCCTTTCAAATTATCTACATGTTTTGGGGAGACCTGAGCGTTCAGGGATAAAAGAACCCATTTCTGGAGACTCCCGGAACCTCACTGTCAGACCGAGAGTCTCCTGTGAGGGTTTGTTATTCACAAAAACGTTCTTTGTAACATTCAGGGTTCTCCTGCGTCTGCAAACTGATTGCAAGTGTCAGAATGCTTCTCCGTATGGGCTCAGGACGCAGGGACCTTCATTTCCATGCTGAGCCCACATCAGACCCCTGTGGGAATCTGAAGCGACCAGAGAGAGGGCTCCCTCCACTAACACACTAGGAATCTGGGGTGGGTTCCCCAGCCCCCGCTCGCAGGAAACCGACTGAGTGCGGAGACTGCATGCAGACAGAGGGCGCAGCGGCCAGCTCTCCCGAGGCCACTGCCGGGGCCGGGCCCTTCTCTCGGCAGGAAGCTGGCAGAGCCTGCTGGTGCCTCGTCTTGGGAAGCTACTTAACCGCCACACTAGCTGCAGGGGCTCACCGACGCTGGCTGCTAGCACTGGTGTCAGGACGCATGCACAGCGGGTGTGAACGAGCGTTTCTCACTCTAAAGGACCCAAGTCCCTTCCGTACCTGGACCGAGCAGCGGCGAGCGGGTCAGCGGGGCGCTGGCGGGGTGCGGCGCCGGCAGGTCACCCATGCTGGAGCCGCTGGCGGCGCTGGCGCTGCCCTGGAGGCCCGGGTTGTTCCTGTCCCACATGTTGACAGCTTTGTTGTTGTAGCTGCTCGGGTCGCCCCAAGCTGAGGTACCATCATCGATTTCCATTTTGCGTCGAATGGACGGGGGAGAAGGCTCCTCCCAGCCCGTGGCCTCGCTGCTGTCCTTCTGTCTGACAGGGACCGGCCCCCCGATCCACCCTGTCCCCGTCTGTTTCACGGAAGCGGCTCCGCCCCAGGTGCTCATGCTGCTGTCCGGGGGCTTGCCTCCCCAGTTCTGCTGGGGGCCGGGTTTCAAAGACTCTCCCCAGTTCGCCCCTGGGTTCGCCTTTGCGCTCGTGCCGTTGCCCCAGCCACCGGGCCCGGGCCGCGGCGCGTCACTCCAGCCCGAGCCGGACCGGCCGCCGTCCGCGTCCCACCCGGAGCCCGTCTTCTTCCCGTCCCCCGGGTGCCCGAGGACGGGGGCGGGGTCGGCCCAGTCCCCGCCTCCGGCACTCCAGGCCGGCGTGGGCTTCTGTCCGTCCCCCCAGTTCTGAGACTTGGGCTTGAGAGGCTCACCCCAGCTGGGTGACTTGTCCTCCTGCCTCGCGGTCCCACTCCAGGTGTGGCCGCCCTTGGCAGCAGCAGCGTTAGGAACAGCAGCAGAGCTGATGGAGTCCCCCCAGACCCCGGGGCCGTGTGGCGCTCTGGCGCCGCCGTCCCCCCAGCCCGTGTTTGCCGGCCCGGCAGCAGGCGGCGAGCTGACCCAGCCCGACACTGAAGAGGTATTTGTACTGTTCATGATGGACCCATCGCTCTTCCCCCCTGAGTGTGGGGGCTGCGGCGCCGCACAGCCCCAGGCCTCCGTCCCGTTGTCGTCCTTCCGCTCGGACCGCGGGGACTCTTCGAACTCCCAGGCAGTGTTTTGCTTCACGGGCGTCTGTCCCCAGCCGGTGTTGGACAGGACCCTGGGGTCCAGCCCGCTCCTCGGCAGCGGGACGTGCCCTTGGTCCAGGACCCCTTTGTCTCGCCGCCGGCCTTCGGCCCCTTCCCTCCCGGCGCCTCCTTCACCGGGGCCGCCGGAGCCCTCGCTGCTGCCGTCGCCGGCCGGGGCTCCCGAGGCGGCGGCCTGGGCCCACGCGCTCCCGTGCTCCCCGCCGGGCTGCAGGGCCGGGTTCTGGCTGCCGGCCCCGGGGCTGTCCCACCCTGTCGATCCTTTCCCGCCGGCGTCACCACTGGAATGCTGGCTTGGGGGCTTCCCCCACTCCCCATTCACACCGTTGGCGGTGCCGCGGCTGGGGTGGCCCCACGCTCCCGAATGGATACCCCCGACGCCGTTATTGCCACGGCCCCTCCCCCAGGCGAGGATCCCGGGGCCGGCGGGAGGCCCCGAGTCCCAGGCGGTGCCCCCGTTCCCTTCCTTCTGCGCGGCACTGCTGGATCCGTTTTGTTTAGCACTTAATGCTGAGCTCACAGTGTCTCCACTCCCCTGGCCGAACCCAGAAGTGCTGCTTCCGGCGGCGGGGCTGCCGGGGGACAGTCCCCACACGGAACTGCCGATCCCGTCACCGCCCCCGCCGCCGACTTGAGAGACTGACGACCCGTTAGCACCAGGAAGGCCTTGCAGGTGGGGCGGGAGGACGGCCCCCATGCCGACGGCCAGGCCCCAGTTGGGCAGCCCGTTGGTCTGCATTGCATTGGCGGGGTTCAGCGAGGAGCTCGCGGCGGTAGTGTTGCTTGGTCCGTCAGGGTTAAGGTTCTGAGGTTGTGCGCTGAAAGACACGTTCTGAGAGGCGGGCGCTGGCGGCTCTGAGCTCTCGGGCGGCAGCAAGCTCCCCCAGGCGCCCAGAGGGGTCCCGTTCTGGCTGCCCACGCTGTGACCTATGGCACTGACCGGACTGCAAATACTGGAAGGGGTGCCTGTGGCCACTGTTCCTTCATGTCCGAGCACAGGCCAGGCGGCTGGGTTGGCGTTGGGGTTGAGGTTGAGGTTCATGCCAGCGTTGGGGCCAGAAGCGCCCCAGCAGTTCTGACTTCTTCCCTCGGCAAGCAGGCTGTCCATTTTCCCCTCCCCGGCGCCCACGCCCCACGCTCGGGCCGCGCTGCCGCTGCCGTTGGCGCCCCCTGCGCCCAGGGCACTGGCGTTCGGAGGGCTCTGGACCAGCGCGCCGTTGGTGCCGTTACTGCCATTGGTCTTCTTGGCGTGCCCGGTGAAGCCGCCCGGGACGCTGGCCGTCGCCATGCTGCTGCTCTCCGCGCCGCCGTGGGGGGCGCAGTCAGTGTCCGCAGTGCATGCTGAGGCCGCCTCCGGCTCCGCCCCGGCGATGGCGGGCCAGGCCTCCTGGTCGGCCCTGTCTATGACCACGTTATCCCAGCTGCAGCCGGCTTCACTCCGGAACGCGGGCGGCTGTGCCCAGGGGGAACTCTCATAATGATCCGCCAATCCGCCGTGACTGGGATCTGGAAGAGATGAACGAACCCCAATTAATTTTCCTCCCGTTTGTCATGAATCAACTGTTAGCTCGTCTTTGGGGGAAGCTCATTATTTCAAGTTTTCAGTTCTGAATGACAAATGCTAAAAATAGGACTTAGAGAAAAAAGCTGTCTTTTAATAGCTCCCATTTAAAAACGAGTTTGTGTTGCTACAGCTGAATTAATTCCTACCACCACACCGTCCTCTCCTCCCCCTGCGAAGCCCCATGCCCACACGCACACTGGCACTCAGAGCCTCTGGATGGAAGGGCCTGCTTCGCTGAAGTCTAGCCTCGTGAAAAGGCGTGCCCCTTGGCAGCACCAGAGCAGCTCTCTGCGAGACGTGGGCATCGACAAGGTCTCTGCGTCCGAGAATAATCGTTGTTTTTCTGGAGACTCGGGCTCCAGTATCATGCAGAGGCTAGGCAGCTCATTAGTAGAAAAGAATTGTAACTGCCTGGCCAGTGTGGTTCAGTGGTTGAGCACTGACCTATGAACCAGGAGGTCACGGTTAAATTCCACTTCAGGGCACATACCTGGGTTGTGGGCTTGATCCCCAGTGGGGGGCACGCAGGAGGCAGCCAATTAACAATTCTCTCTCATCATTGATATTTCTCTCTCCCCCTTCCGCTCTCGATCACGATCTCATTTCATACACAAAAATAACTCTAGATGGAATAAAGACCGAATGATGAAAAGCAAAACTTCTTAATAAGGGAGCACAGGAGACCATCTCTGTGGCCTGGGACACTCCCTGTGCCTTCCTCCGGCAGACACACCGAGTCAGCGGTGACATCAGAGCGCGGGTGACACACGTCACACAGGACGCTGAAAACAGCGCAGACAGGAAGAGGGAGTGCGGACGGAGAGGACCACAGAACAAAGAACAAACCGAGAGAAAAGCCAAGAGGCCGGCGAGAGGGGGAAATGGCAGGAAACCCATCGGAAACAATCCCGGCCCGTCTCCGAGTGAAAGGCACCCCAACGGGGAAAAGACGCCGCACTCGCTCAGATGCCGCTGGTGCCTTCCGGGGGCAGAACGGGGTGGGGCGCTATCTGTAACATCTCTGACCCAGAGGTCTGTACTGTGAGGGTAGCTTTATTCTCTGTGTACTTTCTTCTAGTTAAAAAATGGAAAAATGCTTAAATGGGATATCAAATGAGGTAACAGAATCCCAAACGGCAGCCACAGTGAGCCCCATGTTCAGAAGTCGTAGGAATGTAATTAAAAGAACACATCTTTGTTGTTAGAAAAATGTGACAACTTTGTAAGAACGGAGAGATTTGGTGTGATTAAAAAAATATGATTCCTGAATTAAGAGCCTAATTTCTGAAGGTGAGGTCCTTCAGGACACGGAAGGTATCTTTAGTTTCATATCCATAATGCTTGCCACACATCAGGCAACCAATAAATGTGTCCTGGGCAAACCAAAGGATAAACATATAGAACCGAATCGGAGTTCCAGCTGCAGTAACCGCTGGGGGAGCGGCCTGGCCGTTCTCAGCTCAAAAAGATGTGAAGGAACTAACGGCACATCCCGAAGGTTCTGGGCTCTGACCTAACAGCTCCGGAGCCGCCCTCTGCTGCCCCTCACCATGAGAGTCAGCAAACACCAGCACCGTGTCTGCACCCTGACCTCAGCCCCGCCACTAATGCCAGTGTGCTTCTTACTGCGGTAAAGTGTACCACACACACTCCACATTAACTGCTTCTGAGCGACGTCAGCGCATTCACATGTGCGGCCACCGCCACTCTCCACCACCGAAACGGAAACTCCGCCCGCCCAGCACTGGCCACCACGCCCTCCCCCTTTCTCTGTGCTCTGCTGCTCCGGGCCCTCTAGACACGGAACCGCAGTGTTTGTCCTTTTGTGACCGGCTGACTTCACCGAGCATGTCCTCAGGTTCATCCCTTTCTAGCGTGTGTCAGAATGCTGAGTAACCTGCCACTGCGTGCCTAGACCACAGGTGGTTTATCTGTTCACCCACCCCCGGCCCATCGGTATTTCCGCACGGTGGCAGTTGTGGCTAACGCTGTGTAACACGAGTACATGCACATCTGTCCCAGGCCTCTTTCCGTTCTTCTGGGTCCACACCCGGAAGTGGGGTGCTGGGTCACATGGCAGTCCTATGTGTAAGTTCCTGAGGAATCGTACTGTTTTGTTTTTGAAATTATTATTATTTTTTGCTAATCGTCACCCGAGGATATTTTTCCATTGACTTTTAAAAAATTATAGTTTGAACATAAAATGTATTTATTTAAGAGCTGGAAAGGTCTTGAAAACCAGAAAGAAGAGTTATCATTTTAATGCAGTATTTATGGTCTTCAAATACAGACTGAGTGTGATCTGCAAATGCCACTCACCGTCTTCTCAGTCCAGCGGCAAAAACACAGCAAGCCCGGAGGCACACAGCACGGCCTCAGCCCACAGAGGCCAGAGCGGATTCCCATTTTAAACTCGTGAGACGGAAACTGATAAAGGGACAAAGTGCAAGGAGGAAAAGCGAAAGCCAGGCATGTCTCCGATCCCGTGTCTCCGCAGCGTGGACTGCCCTCTGAGACGAGACCAGGCCCCGTCCAGCTGTGAGCTCAGCAGGTCCCGCTCAGAGCAAGAGCGCCGTCCGTGGGGCACAGACCCCCGCACACACCGCGCAAGACCGGGCCTCTCCAGCCACGTCGCTCACAGTGGCGGCAGGCCCAGGGTGGGCCGGAAAAGGAGTGTAATAGCCAGCAGGACTGACTGAAGCCTGCATTTCCAGAATAAAGTTCTCGTGCTCTTTCCACTCTACTGTTCTATTATCCAAACAATTTCCCCTAAAGCCAGTCTTAAAGAGAAAAAAGGATTGAAGCCTGTGTATAATACCGTCCTTTCCTCTGCTGTTTAAATGGCTCACAGGTTCTAAAAATAGTGTCTATAACAATCTAAGTAACGGACTGCTTTCAGTGATTAAATGAAAAAGGATTACATGACAGCATCATTTAAAGAAAGAACTTTCTTTTTTTTCATTTTCAAATTCTAAAATGTTAATGACATTAAGATCTATTTTTTCAAGGAAAAGTATTTAACAAAGAGCTTACAAAAGCTACAGTAAGCAGAATCGTAATTAGGTATCACATTAATCAGATAGGGAAGCGTGCACAAGATTTACTCAGAAGTGTGCAGAATGCTTAATTAGTCGTAACACTGACAAATAGGACATAATTCATTCTTTATCACCACCACCTGCCAACGGAAATTACACAGTAATATCTGTATGTTATAGAGAATAACTCCGGAGCTGCCTTCCTCAGCTGTGAGCGCGCTGACCCAGGCGCAGTGGGGACAGAGTCCTCGCCACTGGTTTCCGAGGGACGGGCTCACATCCAGCTGCTCGGAGCCTTTGGGAAGCCACACACCTGACCCTCCGCTGCATCTGCTGTGACACCTCAGGAGGCCCGAGAGCTCTCAGGGCTGGAAGCCAGGCTCTGCTTCAGACAGTCCGGACGGAAAACAGCAGACCTGCCTCACACGTGTGCGCACTCACACCCACCTCACCAGTTCAGTCAGGACCCTCAGTGGGGAGAGCACTGGCCTGTGGACTGAAGGGTCCCAGGTTCAATTCCGGTCAAGAGCACACCCCTTGGCAGCAGGCTCAATCCCCCGTCTGTCAGGCCACGTGTGGGAGGGGCCCGTCGGTGTGTCTCTCTCACAATGCTGCTTTCCTTTCTCTGTCTCTCTCCCTCCTTTCCGCTCTAAAAAGAGGGTCTGTGGGAAAAGACCTCGGTGAGGATTGGCAACAACAGCCACAACAAAGCCTCAGGGAGAGCTCAAGCCAGATGCCACCGCTGGACAGAGGGACACCTGACCCCATCTCCCCAGCGGAGACCCAGGAAATGCTGAGCGGAGTGCCGGCGCGGGGTGGGGGGAGGTTTACTGCAACAACAGTGCGGCGTCCGAGAGGCCGCAAACGAGCAGCACAGGAGTGTGCCTCCTCCGCTGACAGCCTGTCCCGCCGATGGAAGTGGGGGCCAAACAAGCCGCCTGCTCCTTTGGGAGACCGGCCAATGCCAAGGACGCCGAGGAGGCCAATGGGAAGGCCCTGTGCTGCCCTGCCCGCTGCCCTGCCCGGCTGCCTGCAGCAGCTGCCTGAGACTCCATTTTATCAGTGTGACCGAGCTGCTTTCCGGATGGCACGTCACACACTGACATGGCACAAACACACACTCTGCTCCCTGTGCCTTCCATCTCCTCTGCCAGGGACGATGGGGCAGGAATACATGCAGAATGGGGCCTCCACCCCTCAGACACACTACCTTGCAAGCCAGCTGCTTGTTCGCCTGCAATGGGGTCACCTGGATGCAGGCACCTGCAGGGCCCTCGGCCGCGGCGGCAGGCTTGGCAGCCCTTCCTCTCCGGAGGCCCCGCTTCGCCCCTGCAGCGGGGGAGGTGCCCACAAAGGGACTGGAAAGCTTTGATTATCTAATTGCAGCTGACACCAAACCGATCGTCCCTCCTTTCAGTTCTCCCAATTGTCACATTTTATCCAGGCCCGGTCCCAGCCGCTGCCGGCCTGCTCGCTGAGAGCCAGCCAGGAGCGCGGCGCCCGCTGCGGCCGCGGGCACACATCGCCGTCCTCTCGCCGCCTTTGTTTCACCAGCTTCCTTCTCTCTCCCCAACCCCCAAACATGTGGCATACCGACACTCGCTCCAGGATCCCAAACGAGCGCCATATGCAAATTGGCAAGTGTCCAACTCCTTAATTACTTTCTGCCTCCATCTCACACAGCCACCGAAGCTGTGTACACCGCACAGGGCAGCCACCACACAGCCCATTGTTCCCGTCGCACAATAGGAAGGGGGGTCTTCAACCCGAGGAAAGCTCTCCGAGCTGGAATTGGGGGCTCAGCCTCAGACACAGTCTGGACAGAAAACAGCAGGATAGAACGACCCTCTTCTGGAACCACGTGTACGCACTCCCCCCCCCCCCCCCCCGGGCCAGGAAACCCGGAGCCACTGTTAGCACAGGCTCACGGGGCATTAAAGCCAGCATTCCATTACACCAGCAGGGGAGAAAGGAACAGCAGAAAGGCTGCCCATCCCCTTGCCCAGGAACTTAGCAAGGATAGTCAAGACTATTTGAAGAGATAGCAAAGCTGTCTAAAAATATTTGTTCCAGCCAAAACCGGTTTGGCTCAGTGGTAGAGCGTCGGTCTGCGGACTGAAAGGTCCCGGGTTCGATTCCGGTCAAGGGCATGTACATTGGTTGCGGGCACATCCCCAGTAGGGGATGTGCAGGAGGCAGCTGGTCGATGTTTCTCTCTCATCGACGTTTCTAGCTCTCTATCCCTCTCTCCTCTCTGTAAAAAATCAATAAAATATATTTAAAAAAAAAAAAAAAAAAAAAAAAAAAAAAAAAAAATTTGTTCCAAATATACCACAAAGTCAGTTTTGAGAAATACACTATGAATACTTGTGTGTCATATTGCAATTTATTCCCCATATTAAGTCACTGTCTGAAAGAAAAACATACTAATATGACCTGTGACATGTTTCTTTTAAATTCCGATCTAATCCGAGAAGCCTCCTTGCTTCTCTGACCGCAGACCTGAATTTCACTGCCATCAGCAAACCTGGTGCCCACGCCAGGGCCAGGGCCAGCCGTTCAGGCGGAGAGGCTCAGGGCGCCACGGGAGTGTGGCCGTTCCCACTGCACCCTGCTCTCTTCCAAACTCCCAAACTCCAGCCAAATCTTTCAGGGTCCAAACCCCTGAGGCCCAGAAGCCAGAACAGGCGACAGATAGGAGACGTGACCCCTGGAGGCTGGAGAGCCAGGAGCAAGCGCAGTTCTCCGGAGCCGAGAGCAGCGGGAGGTGCTGCAGGCAGACACCCGCAGAAGCAGGGGGGTCAGGACCCGAGGTCCGCACACCGGGCCACCGGCAGGTTTGGCTTAAGGGCCAGATGTTACAGCCAGAACCCCCATCCCCATACAACGCCATCGCCTCCCTGCAAAGAGCATGCGGCCCTGCGAGGCCTCGCTGCAGAGTGTCTGAGGGGCTCGGCTCACTGCCGAGGTCACTGGCCGCCTAGACCTTCGCTTCCTGTGAGCAACACAGTCGCTAATGCCCCGAAAACATGAGAAATAGTAAGTCCTAGGAATAGGAGGGGGAAGAGAATCAAAACCCAACTGAATTCTACCTATTATCTATCAATTAGCTCCCTACCGGACTATTATCTACATATCTATCTATCTATCTATCTATCTATCTATCATCTATCTATCTATCATCTATCTATCTAACATCTATCCAGCTAGCTCTATCCTATGTACACTGCCAATGGACCCACAGGTGTCCACTTTATTCCGTCAATTGGGCAGCAGCACAGAGCCCGGATGAGAGGCCTTCGGGTCTCACCTGGCTGGAGCTTGCTGGGCTGCGACGGCTGCTGCGCTCCGGCTCCAGGGAGGGGAGGGGGGCTCACCCCTGCGGGCCCGGCGCCCTGCGTGGGGCTCACACTGGTCAGAGCCCCCGGGGGCAATGGCTGGCCTCTCTTCAGTAGCTGCTTCTGTTCTTGCTGGCGGAAGCGTGGAGGCACCTCGCGAGGCAGGTAGCGGGACACAGCTGGCTGCTGGCCGCCGGCAGGTGCGCGCTTGCCATTGCTGCTGCTGGAGAGAGTGCTGGTGGAAGTACTGGTCCCGGTACCGGCAGGCTGGGGCTGGCTGGAACAGGTCTTGGTAGGTTCTGGCACTGTAAGGACAAAAGGAAAAGACCCCAACACTTTAGTAACACCTCCTACACCCAACCCAAACCGGAGAAAACAAAACAAAACAAAACAACTGAGAGATGACAATGAGGTGCTTTGGGCACAGACTGGGTGAGAGCCGGTCTCCTATGAGGTACCTGCAGTCCTGACTGTGGCTCTTTCCCAGCTTCCTCCTGGGAAATGGGCGCTCAGTCAGAGCAGGTCTCACTCCAGCTGCATCAGAGTCAGCACGAGGGCTAAGGCCCGACTCCTGGCCCCACCGAGGGGACTCGGGGTTGGAGGGAAGGCAGACTACAAGCCTGCACTTTGTTTTAAGCAGAATGTTATGGGTAATAACACCATCTAATGCCAGCTGCGCATTATATTATCATCTACGTGCACCACTGCATGCTCACCACCCGGGCCCGGGCCACAATCAGACAACCGCGGCTCTCGGTCAGCATTTCTCCAAACAAAGGGAGCCAGGTGTCCACCGTTGAGAGCGGACGTTTTGTTTTAGCTGGTGGCAGTCTGAAAGCATGTCGGATGCACTCTGGATCCTGGGGTAACGAGAGCACTGGAGGTGCAAACGCCCATCTCACCGCCATCCCTCCCTGGGAGAGAAGGCAGGGGGAACACTGCAGAGACAGCCAGGCTGCCAGGCAGCTGGTGGCCAAGGCTCAGTCACTCAGCAGCACAGGCAGGAGCGGTGAGCGACGACCTCGGGCCAGAGCACAGGTGGCCTGGGCCCCGCAGCCGCCCGCCGCCTTGCATTTGTAACAGTCACGGCCAGTAAACGCTACTGTGTCTCATTTGAAAAAATTCCTTTCTACTTAATTTGTGGATGTCTCGCTTTATGCTGAGTAATGAACGTATTCCTAGTTCTGTGCCTATCTCAGACGTGTAAGGAACGCCACAGAAAGACCTGCTTACGGTAAGCCAGATCTTTCAAACCAGCAGCCAACTAGCACAGCTTCCACCGCACAAGTGGGAGATCTGGCAATCTGACCTCTTCGTATCAGCAGATCCAACAGGCAGGTGCTGGTTAGCCACACAGTCACAGACCCCAACTTCTCCACCAGCTGCTGCCCAAGGCACGGCATGGGCATCAGAGCTACCCTGACCCCCCTCCCAGACAGCCCGGCTCTCAGGCATGGTTCACCCGTCACACACAGCACGCCACGTGAGGGCAAGGGAGGTTTGGCGGATTTTCTTCTTTTTAAAAATCTCACCGAGGTTATGTTTTTAATTGATTTTCAGAGAAAGAGGAAGGGAGAAAGAAACATCAATTGGTTGCCTTTCACACATGCTCCGACCAGGGATGGAGCCCACAACACTGGTATGTACCCTGACCGGGTATTGAACCCACAACGTTTTGGTGTCCAGGACAACACTCTAACCAACCGAGCAACCAGGTCAGGGCTAGCTTGGTTTTGAGTCGTCAGTGAATCTTATGTTTTATTTAGAAAAGTTACAACAGCAACCAGCTAGTAACTGCATACTAAAAACAAAACCTTCCAGTATGCCCAGCGGTGTGGCTCAGGGGTTGAGCGGTGACCTATGAACTGGGAGGTCAGGGCACAGCCCGGGTTGTGGGCTGGATCCCCAGTGTGGGGTGTGCAGGAGGCAGCCGATCCATGATTCCCTCTCATCACTAATGTTTCTCTCTCTCCTCTCCCTTCCTCTCTGAAGTCAATAAAATACATTAAAAACAAAACAAAACAAAACAAAAAACCAACAATCAACCAACCAACCAAACACCCTTCCAGTGAGCTGGAACTCTGGGTGAGAGCCGGTCTCCTATGAGGTACCTGCAGTCCTGACTGTAAGCTCCTGGGCCTAGCATGCGCTCACTGCTCTTTTGTCTTTTAAATGGTGACAGGGTGTGTGAAGTCACTAGAAAGTGAAGCCGGCCTTCTCAAACAACTTTCTTTCAGAGCCAGCTTTCTGCTTTCAGCGGAGCTCCTCCAGGGAGCTTATACTGTGGCCGTTCCTCACAGCCCCTCCGCGGGAGGCCCCGGTGCCCCTGGGCGCGGAGGACTCTCCTTGGAGAGCCTTCTAGCCACCTGGTCACCTCTAGACCAAGATGCAAGGAGTCTCCCTGGCTGACCAGCCCAACTGCCAGCAGCCTGGTCACTCCATTCTAGTGGCCCTCCAGACGCTGAGGCCGGCCATCCCTCACTGTGCCACCCATACCTCCGACCGCTGCCCTTCAGTCCGCTGTCCACACGGCCGGGAGGCGCAGCTCCGGGCAAGGCCCCTGCCGCTCGGCTGCTCCAGGCCCCACCGCTGCTGCCCGGTCTCCCCCAGTGCAGGGCGGTCGCCAGACCCCCTTCTGGGCCTGAACCACTTCCCTGCCCTTTGACCTCACCCTGTGCAGCTCCCCCCCAGCCCAGCACGTCCAGGCACGGGGGAGGCTGCAGTGAACAGAAAAGGCCAACTGCTGCCCTCCGAGCTCCCCGTCCGGGAAGACAGATGCCAGCGGTCGCATCAGCAGCCCCGCAGTGCTGAGCGGGAGAGGCAGGGAAGAGGGGTGACACTCGTTTCTCACAGCCTGTCACTCTCCTCACCGCGTGGGCGCCCCACTCACCCTCTCCTCGTTACTCATGGGCAATAGCTAATGATGCCCATTTTGTGCCAGGCACTGGGTGCACGGAGGAAAATAAGGAGATAGGGTTCCCGTCCCTGTAGTTTACAGTCCAGTAAGGGAAGATGGGGTCTTCAGAGCGATCCTACAAGGTGTTATAAGTTATGGAACAGGAAGTCTGGAGCCACTACGAGGAGTGCTCTAGGGGCAGGCTCCTCTGACGACAAACTCACGGAGAGCTGTACGGATGTGACAAACAAGCCGGTGACCTTGATCCAGACCCTGTCTGTGCGAGCTCTAGAGCCAGGTGGCCCTGTCTGACCTCCCCTTTCCGGGTGCGGGCAGCACAGTAACCATGGTAACCGGGCCCGCAGCGGCAGCACACTCCTATAGACGCGGGAACACACTGGCCAGGGCCGTTTCCTCCGATCCACCCGACGCTCCTCCCCGGGCTCCCGCCCTCCGCGTGCCAGCTGTGAAGTGTGGGTAAGCGGGGATAAAGTGGGGTAGCAATACCTACTGAGAGGGCCCTATGGGGAGTAAATGTTAATGCCCGTAAAGAGCCACTTACAACAGCGCCTGGCACCCAGCGCACTGTCAGAGTTTACATGGTGTGAAAGGAAAAGCCCAATGACATGTTACAGTGAGGCTATGGGCTGCGGGCCGCACAGGGGACTGCGGGCCGCACAGGGGACTGCGGGCCGCTCAGTGGGCTGCGGGCCGCTCAGTGGGGCTGCGGGCCGCTCAGTGGGGCTGCGGGCCGCTCAGTGGGGCTGCGGGCCGCTCAGTGGGACTGCGGGCCGCACAGGGGACTGCGGGCCGCTCAGTGGGGCTGCGGGCCGCTCAGTGGGGCTGCGGGCCGCACAGGGGACTGCGGGCCGCTCAGTGGGACTGCGGGCCGCTCAGTGGGACTGCGGGCCGCTCAGTGGGGCTGCGGGCCGCACAGGGGACTGCGGGCCGCTCAGTGGGGCTGCGGGCCGCTCAGTGGGGCTGCGGGCCGCTCAGTGGGACTGCGGGCCGCTCAGTGGGGCTGCGGGCCGCTCAGTGGGACTGCGGGCCGCTCAGTGGGGCTGCGGGCCGCTCAGTGGGGCTGCGGGCCGCTCAGTGGGGCTGCGGGCCGCACAGGGGGCTGCGGGCCGCTCAGTGGGGCTGCGGGCCGCTCAGTGGGACTGCGGGCCGCTCAGTGGGGCTGCGGGCCGCACAGGGGGCTGCGGGCCGCTCAGTGGGGCTGCGGGCCGCTCAGTGGGGCTGCGGGCCGCACAGGGGACTGCGGGCCGCTCAGTGGGGCTGCGGGCCGCTCAGTGGGGCTGCGGGCCGCTCAGTGGGGACTGCGGGCCGCACAGGGGACTGCGGGCCGCACAGGGGACTGCGGGCCGCTCAGTGGGGCTGCGGGCCGCTCAGTGGGGCTGCGGGCCGCTCAGTGGGGCTGCGGGCCGCACAGGGGACTGCGGGCCGCTCAGTGGGACTGCGGGCCGCTCAGTGGGGCTGCGGGCCGCTCAGTGGGACGCGGGGACTCACAGCCGGGGCAGCGCAGCCTGGAGGTGGTGAGAGAACTGGTCGCGCCTCGGGGTCACCAGCTGATTCCTGCCCGGAGTGGCTCCCTGGGAGGATGCTTTGGGAGTCCTTCCTCTGGCCTCACAATCTCTATATAAAAGCCCAGCGACTGAACAGAGGAGCAACCAGAACAACTGGTCCACCAGTCTCTATGACAAGCACTGACCACCAGGGGGCAGACACTCAATGCAGGAGCTGCCCCCTGGCAGTCAGTGTGCTTCCACAGGGGGAGCACCGATCGGCTGACCAGGCTGACCAGGATAGTGGCTGCTTCCCGCAGGCTACACCCGCACAGTGCACAAATCTGTGCACCGGGCCTCTGTGATTTTATAAGCACCCAAGTTTCTGCACTTATACTCATTTCTGCTTAAAACAGCGACAGTGGTTTCTATTCTCATTGACTGAGCTGTGGTGAGGAGCACAACTCTTCCATTTAAATCTCTCATACACCAGACTTGGGGTATGTGGTGTGAGCTAGGTATTCCACGTGGCTTCCTCCTAACGGTGTTGACGATGCCGGGCACCCTCACTTGGAATGTGAGAGGCCACAGTTAGCCTGACGTGTGCTGGCAGGAGGCCTGCAATGGGTCAGAGGAGTGAATGCTAACCTAGAGGGACATTTTGGCCACACACCTTCATGTCTTATTTCTGAAATGTGGATGCATCTTACAGTTGGTACATAAACTTAATGTAGTTTCCTCATTTACCTTCAAACTCTATCAATAGAACATTATTAAATCAACTAGAGGCCTGGTGCACAAAATTTGTGTACTGGAGGCAGGGTCCCTCAGCCCGGCCTGCGCCCTCTCCCAGTCTGGGGGCTACTGTGGAGACAGGAAAGGCTCCCACCACTGCCACTGTGCTCGCCAGCCTTAAGCCCGGCTTCTGGCTGAGTGGTGCTCCCCCTGTGGGAGCACACTGACCATCAGGAATCAGCTCCTGCGTGGAGCATCTGCCCCCTGGTGGTCAGTGCACATCATAGCAAACCATTGTTCCACCATTCTGCATATTAGCCTTTTATTATATAGGATGGTATGTCCTATAATTGATGTTATTTGAGAACTTAAGAAGTTCTGTATGTAAAGCATGAAATTTCTCTTATGCAGACACAAGATAGTGAAAGAAAAAAATGTTTAAAAATATTGCATTAATTCCATCCATTTCAGAATATATACCCAAAGATACGGAGTCTCTTAAAATTGTACATTTAAATGTACTCAGACATGCATGACTGACTGACTGCAAATGTGGCTCTCAGAGAGACTGCTCTCCTGCTGGAGCAGCCAGGGGCCCTGCCGCAGCAATGCTGGAGGAGAAATCCCCTTTCAGCGAGACACAGGAGGGCAGCTCTGAGCAACAGGGTCATCTGCATGCGTATCAGCGGTCCCAGGGGTACAGCAGTGGCCTTCTGTTTGTTCTGTTGACAGCTCTGGCTGATCTGTCACCATGGCAACTTTTGGAGCACAACTCAAAATGAGCATGGACTCATTACTTACTAACTACATTAACTCAGTGTCTGCTGCTAATGGGAAATGCGCTTAGGAAGAGTCCAGCACCCCTCAGTGCTTACACGGAAGCCACTGACCAGTTTAATCCTGTCTGGTGGAAATTAAACCAAAGGAAAATGATAAAGTATTTCTTAGAAACTAACACAACATTCTTTAGGCATTTAGATTAAACAAACGCCAATGAGATGCAAGTGGAAGCCCAGCGATAAAGGAAGATTTTCCCGGTGAATAATATAAGGTCGATCCAAAGGCAAGGCTAGATAGAGTCTTTGTTTTTACATCAATTAAAGAAAAAGTCATCTTCATCAAAAAAAGTTTGGTACTGCCATAAAACGTGCCCCCTCCCCCCAAATAAAATAAACTTACCTTTGGTTTTTTGATCAGCAGCCTGAAAAAAAAAAATCAGAAACTCTTTAGGAATGATGTGTAGGATGTACATGCCTATGAAAGTTCACAAACACGTTAATACTGGGGTTTTAACCAGCGTTTCCCTGTTCCTTTATGGAAGTTATTCCTGGGAAAGTCCTGCTGTTTACATTCTGTTGACTACGTGCCAATACTGGCTGGGAGGCGAACATGGCAGCCTGAGCGCACTGGTGCTCGGTCCTGTAACGCACCTATAGGCACAGTTTAAACCACAAGCTGAATAAACGAGGCCAAACCAAAGTGAATGGCATCACGTGGTATGTTAAATGCCATACACTCAAGCATGGCTCAAGGCTTTTCATTTTTAATGTTTACTAATAGGGTTTGAAAAAGAACATTTGCCAAAGCTGCCAAAATTACTGGTAACTTTTCTAATAAAATCAGTTGAATGGCCCTTTTCTCATCTCTACGGTTGTTCTGGGCAGTTTATTTCAAGGAGAACAGCATGAACATTCATCTTTACTTCCGATAACGGCAATCAACCTTCTTTGAAACACAGCTCTACCACTTGTGGGTCTTTAAGAAAGCCATGCTATTGTGGCCACCTGTATTTATTTCATAGCACAATGGCTGTCTTTTGCTAATGACAGAACCAGCACCTTAACTGCTAAAAGTAAGGAAATGCAATTCTGGGCCGTGAGGGCCATGGCAATGCAGATGCAACGTGGGTGATCGCAAAGACAGCGAAGCAGCGGCTCCGGCCAAACCTTTTTCTGAGCGCCTTCCTTCTTTTTCTTTTCTTCCTGCTTTTTCCTTTTCTTTTCTTCCATCAAACGTTCCTCTTTTTGTGTTTCTTGTTCTTTCTCCCTGTTAAGTAGAAAGAAAAGTGGCATCAGCACAATGTCCATCTTAAATCTATATAAAACCCTAATATGCAAATAGACCGAACAGCGGAACAACGGAACAACCGGTCGGTATGAGGTGTGCTGACCACCAGGGGGCGAGCGCGAAACATGGCAGGTGTCGGCCGCCATGGTGGAGCAGGTGAATGGGAGTGCCAGACCAAGGCGGGCACCAGTCGCTGTCATGGGGTGAGCCTCTGGTGATTACTGAAAATCCTTTGCTCCCCTGCACCACAGTCCCACACAGCGTGCACATGCTGCCAGTGACAGCCCCGGCCTAGACTGCACTTACCCTGATCACCCCTCAGGGCTTCTCCTCCTCCCACTGCTCCTGAGGGGTGATCAGGGCAGCAGCCACCACTTGTGCCCGCTGATGGTGCCGGCCCCGCTCACACCCACTGATGGTGCCGGCCCCAATAGCTCTGTGCCATCAGCGGGTACGAGTGGGGCTGGCACTGCCAGTGTGTGGGAGCAGAGTGGTGGGAGCAGGACTGCTGGCAGAGAGGGGACCAGGGGCTGCGGTGGGAGGGGTCAGGTGGTGGCATGGAGGATGGGCAGAGACCTGATCCTGTGCCCACCGCAGCCTTGAGGCCCACAGTTCCTTCCAAAGTGCAGGAATTCGTGCGCTGGGCCCCTAGTCAAAGAAAACACACAGATTATTTTGGAGAGCTGGAGCCAGACAATGTTCCGTGTGTCTGGGGCCTTGGAGGAGGTGGCATACCTCCGTACTGCTGCAGCGCCCTCTGCTGTGCCGGCTCAGCTGCTCATTCAATCCGCCCACACCTAACACCAGCCTCTTCTTAGGCTCAGAGTATCAGATGGAGTAAGACCCAGTTCCGAACAGTCCAGGCCAGGCCTCGCAGGGACCAGTCATCAAAATCCCGGGGTACCTATCAATGTACCCAGCCCAACCAAACGGGAATCACTGGCAGGGGGACCTTTTCCGCAGACTGCACTCCAGCTTCCTGCTGCTTGTGCCCCTGACACTCATCCCTCACGGCCCTCTCCAATGCCATGGCCCTCCCAACCAGGACACCCGTGGTGCATGCCTGCTGCTTTACTGCCCCCCCTCTGCACACCGCCCACTGAGCCATGCAGGTGCAGCGGCCACCAGGAGGGCTGCGCCAGGGCCCAGGTCCTGTGAGCCATGCCAGTGGTGAGCTGGCCTGTGCTCCCAGCAGTGCTTCCTGCTGCCCAGCGACTGCGGACAGCTCGGCCTGGGCGAACCCTCCGGGGGGCTGCAGCGCACCTTCTCCAGGGAGAGCGAACCCCCTGGGAAAAGCTGTGATCTCTGCCAAGGGCAGGTGGGGACACCCAGCCCCAGGGCGTAGAGGGCCCGCAGCCCTGCCAAGGCATCGGATGAGCTAAAGAAATGTTTGCCAAATCGAGCAGGCTACTTAAGTTGATAATTTTGTATGGCCCTTGGATGATGTTTTAAGTATCTTAATGGCCTTTGGCAGAAAAAAAGGTTCCCCAACCCCGTCTTAGATGATACTTTCCAGGAATATTTTCAAGTTAAAAGGTATGGAGACACTAAGAAATTGGAAATCATAACATTAAAAAAAAATCCTCACCCAAGGATAGGTTTGTATTGACTTGAGAGAGAGGAAGGGGGAGAGAGAAACACTGATTGGTTGCCTCCCTCACGCGCCCCGACTGGGGACAAACCTGGAGCCTTTGTGTACGGGATGCCCTCCAAACCACCACCCAGCCAGGGCGACATCTGTAACATCTAACAAGGCCCGCAGCCCCTGGTGATGGGCTGGTCCAGAGCCATCATGCTGCTCCGGAAAAATAAACAAATGTCACCCCCCCTATTGTTCCTTTTTGTTTTGTTTATTAATCCTTACCAGAGGATATTTCCCCATGATTTGTAGAGAGAGTGGAAGGGTGGGGAAGAGACAGGGACACAACTGGCTGCCTCCCACACGAACCCTGACCAGGGTGGGAGTGGAACCTGCAATCCAGGTACATGCTCTAGGCTGGAATTAAATCTTCCACCCTTCAGTGCTTGGGCAGACGCTCTAACCACTTAGCAATACTGGCCAGGGTCCCATTGCTATACTGTCTTAATCTGCATACAGCACAATGAAAGCCTTAAATTATCTCCGGATATTAAACTTACAGTAGACAAGTATAGCTACATTATTAAAAGGTATTCAATAGAAAATGAAAATGGTTTCTGCTTAATTCTATTACTCTGGAAATTAAATTAATTAAAGCCAGCTATTCCCCAGCAGTACAGTTAGGGTTTTACTGTCACAGTGAATGAAAGGCTGTAAATAAGGAGCTCACGCCCATGTAGTGGGAGTATCTTACCCTTTCCCGCCTGAGCTCACGTTTACATGACAAAGCACAATCCAAGGTAAACTCTTCATGTCTCATCTCCTTTCCCCCAGCCAGCATAGTTCCTCCTCCCCCTACCTCTCAGTGTACACTTCTGCCCTTTTCGTCAATAACTGAAACCAACATCAAATCAGTCTCCTCTGGAGAGTAGCACACGCTCATGGAACAAACCACACCATGTGAAAGACACACAGAAGACGGGCCCTCTCCCGCGCCCACAGGCCTTCCTTGGGGAGCGCTGGCCGCCCTGCCGCTGCCCACACTGCCCTGTCCCTTAGAGAGAGCGTGGGGGCAGATGTCCGCTTTCTGCCTCCCTTCTCTCTTACCTCCCAGCCCGCCACGGCGGGGACACGTCCCTCCACACCTCCACATCGTGGTTGGGTTTGCTCTCTCCTGGCTTACCGACCGGAGACATAGCAATGTAACCCTATCTACAGCGATGGGCCAGGAGCTGGTCCTTACAGAAGCCCTCTGTGCCACCCCATCGCAACCTCCAGGCACGTCCACAGACGCTGTGCGCGCTCTGAAGAACACAAACGCCCTCGGAGTGGGGGAGCATATGCCGTTCTATTTCACTCCTGTGTGGCTGTTTCTAAGTCCCTACTGTCTGCCTCCTCCTCTTGGACTGATTTCTTTGCACAATTCTGTTTGCCGCCACCTTCCTCCAGCTAAGACACGAGTCCTGTTTCCCACTGCATCCCTGAGTCCTCCCCGTCCTCGGCTGCTCACTCTAGGCCCTGCCCGTGTTCTCCAACATCCTCTGCTTCGTTTATATTTTAGCTTTCCATTGCAATCAAATACACATAAAGTTTACATCCCGGCCCTCCGTAAGCTGCAGCTCAGGAGTGCACACTCACTGTTCCAGACCCCGGACGGTCCAGCACCGCTTGCTGCCCCTCCCGGCCCCTGGCAGCCGCATTCTATTCTTACCAAAGGGACTGCTGACGTGGCGGGGCTGGTCTGCATCTCCCTGAGGACTGGTGATGCTGAGCATCTTTTCACGCTGTGGGCATCTGTGCAGCTCTCTGGAGCCTGTACTGCTGTTGCCTTTAAGTAAACTTGTTTGTATCGCTGTACCACTTCTACCAGCCCAGACTGCTCCGGGGAGAGGGAACTTACAGACTGAGCGGAAGGAGCCACACATGCAAACTCCACAGCAAAACGTTCCGCCCGCCCAGGATGCTGGCTTCACCCTCTCAGCTCTCGCCTGGGGCTCCCTTGTTGAGTTATGCCCTGGATTTGCTGTAAACCTCAAGCGCCTTTTCTAGAAAGCGTGAGTGGGAGGTGAGATTTGGAGACCACGGGCGTCTAAAATGGCTCCCAGCTACCTTTTGGCTTCACAGACGGCGTGGCTGGAGCCCCAATTCTAGGCGGAGAGTGAGCTCGGAGGCCCTGCGCTGCTCGCTGCAGCCGGAGAGCAGCCCCTCTCCGGAGAAGCCGGCCACTGTGCTTTCCGCCCTTTGGTGGCGTTCTCAGCCTCCCTCTCCCTGGAGGCCTGACGTTTCATGATGCGCGTGGCCTCTACCCGCCCCGTCGTTTGTGCTTAGAATCTGGCTGATGCGTTCCCTACAGCGCTTTCTTCACTTTTTGCACCAGAGACAGGAAGAGGGCCGATCCGTAACGAGTCTTTTCTGAACAGTGGCATTGTCAGTGCTCTGGATGTCAGGAGTGGGCATGGTAGTTCATATGCTTTCAAGGATATTCGTATAAACGGTGAGTCACACCGACGCCGGCTATCCCCACAGCGAGATGTGCGGATGGATGCAGGCAGAGCGAGGAGCGGACACATACGCCTGCGTGGGCGAGGCCCCGGCAGTGCGGTCTGCCCTCTGCGCAGCGGGCACCGTGGTGGCGATGTCTCCTGCCTCTATGGCACCAAGGCAAGCCTGTCAGCACCGATTTCCGGCCCACACTCTCAGCTGGGATTCACCCTGGAAAACCTGCCGAAGCACACTTTCTCCCCTAGGGAAGTGTTACTTTCTGAAACAATCAGTAATATTTATTAAGTTTCTCTCTGCCTTTTCAGGGCTGGTAAAAAGATTATAAACTTAGACCTGGAAACCTTCTTGCCCCATAGAGAGAAAAACACTAGATCTAGCCGGTTTGGCTCAGTGGATAGAGCGTTGGCCTGCGGTCTAAAGGGTCCCAGGTTCGATTCCGGCCAAGGGAACAGGCCTGGGCTGTGGGCTTCTTGCGTCCCCAGTAGGGGGCGTGCGGAAGGCAGCCAATCAATGACTCTCATCATTGATGTTTCTATTGCTCTCCCTTCCTCTCTAAAATCAATAAAATTATATATTAAAAAGAAAGAGGAAAAAACTAATAGGTATCAACTACATAGTCAATTGGTACTTTTCTCTGTGGAGAAAAATACTTTTCTCTGTGGAGACTGCAAGGGGAATAAAGAAAAGCGATGATCAGGTTGAGTTAATTTCATTTTTAAATTTTAATTTCAACTTTAAACCCACAGGATTTTATATACATTTACATTCAACTTTCCTTGTTTCTCATTTACTTGGCATCCCCTTATCCACCCCTTCCCCACTGAAGGTCCATTCTGCACCCCTCTTCGAGAACCCATGTTA